ATTTTGTTTAATTGTTTATTGACTACAGATATACATTTTTTTTTAAACAATTTTATGTGCATTTCTTAATATTTTACAATACTTTTTCAGACATTTTCAATATTAAATATATTATATATACATATTATATATACAAATATACATTGTAAAAAAAAACTGATTGTAAAAAAGTGGAATTTTACTTTATTTAAAAAAACTATATATACACGTATATATATATATATATACTGTATATATATATACACGAGTGCTGGCAACGTTAAAAATATTTATAAATATTGTAGAATAATTCTGGGTAAGAAGGACACAGTCACGTGTTCTGTGAGGTGAGCATAAGTGTAATCTGAATGAAAGCAAATACACTAAAGTTTATGTGTTTAACTTTACCAAATGTAACTTTCTGAATGAATGTTCAAATAAAGTTTAGCTTATTAGCGGTCGAAAAAATGCTCAAAAACGTGAACCAGGGTTATTATAGTTAACCGAAATCATAAAAAAATACTTGAAATAAAATAGAGATCACAATAAAAACACAGAAAACACACAATAAAACATTAACTGAAATTAAAATGAGAATGGAAAATATAAAAATAAGAATTTTTCCAAAAACTATAATAGTATCTTAAGGATACTAAAATTACACTGAAGTGAACTTGAATGCTAGGTTGTTGCATTCTTAGTGCTGCCACTACGGATGCTATAACTAGTTATTCAGAGCAACAGTTTAAAGGTAATCTTGCTGAGTAAGTTACTTCAAGTTAGTTAAACTGACATTTACAGCTAGCTGCCTTGTATATCACTGGAGATGGGTTGTCATTGGTTTTTTTGACTGGGCCAATAAGCATCCACCTAGCAACCAAATAGCAATGTGCTAAAAAACACTCCGAACATATTAGCAGTGTTGTGCTAGTTACTAAGAAATAGTAACTAGTTACAGTTACTAGTTACTTCATTCAAAAAGTAACTCAATTACTTTGTTGATTACTTACACCAAAAAGTAATGCGTTACTGTTAAAAGTAACTTTTTAGTTACTTTAAAAAAAACATTCTTTAATGTTCCCATTAATGCCCTTTTATGCGTTATGGTCTATACAAACACAAAACTGACTCAAACAGAAAGTAATTTTTAAACACTATTTTATTTGAGTCAGACCAGCACAAACTGAATATATCACAAGGATTTCTGAGGTGACTCACTATGCTGACTCGCGATCTTCGCAGTAGACACGCCAGAGAGAAATGCACATTTCATACGGATTACATAAGCAGAGATAAGTCTGTAGTCTGTTTTCTTTCGTTTTGAATTGTTCTGTTTAAAAGTAGACATGTCTGTGAGGCAAGTAGGTTAGGCTAACTTATACGCTGAGTTTCGGTTCATTTATGAGACGAACTCCAGTTCACGCGCCGGCGCCTCCATTTCGTGATTATCTATCGTCTGCTATATTTACTTCTTATTTATTAAATCCAGGCAATTGGTTGATGAAACATTGATTAAAATTAAGATCCAATTAATACAAAACGAAATTCACTTTAAAGTAAGGTTTTGTGCTTTCTGTTTGATGTCTCTGCAAGTATTAAAGCATCTTTTAGTGCCGCTTTCAGAGCGCGTCACGTCCGTAACGGAGAACTGTCACGTCCGTAACCATGTTTTTTACTCATAAATGCGAACACTAAAAATAAAATAAAATGAATATTATGTTCTGTGGAGACTGAGAGCCAACCCTTCTTCATTCGGTGGGTAGTAGTTTGCGCAGTGTAATTCACATAATTACTAAACAATATTTATTTTAGGCCTATAAAATTCAGCCCGTATAAATGTGCATTTTCTAAGCTTAGAAAATGGACAAAATTCATTTGATTCTAATCATAATGTAACATTATTGTGAAATTGATTTATTTATAGGCTATTTGCTATTAGTATAGTAAAGCCTATGTTTTTATCCAACTAGGCTATGTGTGGGCCTTATGTAAAATACGGGACAAATCGCGTCCCTTATTGATTTGATACGGACGCGTCATTTTACTTGTAAATACGGGACAATTCCATATTTTAAGGGACGGGTGGCAACCCTACCACCAACAATGCGTCGCTGCTGTAAACAGGTTAGGCTGTAGGCTACACTTCAGCCAAAATTAATTAATTTAAAAAAGTAACGGACAAACGCACCATATGGTAACGATAACGAGTTCATTTATTTAAAAAGTAATGCGTTACAGTATGAGTTACTGTCAAAAGTAACTGCGTTACAGTAACGCGTTACTGCCCAACACTGCATATTAGCAATCACACCCACAATACCCTAGAATCATGTTTTTCCATGGCCAACCACTATATTCTCACATATGTTCTTCAGAATTTTTTTTTATTTATCAATCATAAATTGTCCCTATTTCAGTATTGGCCAGTTAGTGTTATGTTCAAAATGACATGATAACAAAAAAACATCCTATGAAAGGCACTTTCTTTGACAGCTCACAACAGAGAGTTCTTATCAGCCAAATAGATTTGGACAGGCCCGCTCTTCTACTCTAACCCGAGCGCAGGGGCTACAGCCTTTCTTTTCAAACTTTTGCACATATACACACTCTTTTCCCCTCTCCATCTGTCTCAGACTTGCACACACTCCTCCCTCTAACACACACACACACACATACACGTCAGTCCACTCTTCCATCAAAAATACCGCAGGCCTTTTAGTGTGTAGTAGGATATGAGCGCTGTCAGTGGTGCTCTGTTATCCTGACTATCCTGCACTTACTGTACATAAAGTGTTCTTCGCCGCCTGACCTGGAGGCAGTTTATTCCTTCCCGCATCTAAGTATTCACTGTTCCACAAAAATAAAATGTAAACTGATCTTATATCAGCAGCCGAAGCACTTTAGTCCTGATCTCAGATCCGTTCTTAAAGTGTTGAATGTAGATTTGCATCTGTCTCAGGCTTATTGAATCACACGAGATGGGTCATAAATAGGTGTTATTTGTTACGTGAGACAGCAGATATATGTAAATGAATTACTGACCGTTTCATCCAAATATCTCAGCTGGGTTTGCTCAAAGAGGGCACCGCCTGCTGATCTGTGATCAGGTTTTCAATTTAGGTTTGGTTGCGAATATTCGAGACAGATCTTATACGCTTAATATATAGGGATGGCGCCATCTCATCCTCATTCTCAAAACATTATTGCACCATGTGACATCACAAAATAGCTAATATGATTCAGATCGTTGATTGAATTAGTCACAATGTTCTTGCCAATGGAATGGCTTAACAGGAAGAGCTGAAAAAGCAGAAGACATTAGAGAATGAGTCAGGAGACAAGTTTGCTGCATTCTGTCCAGTCTCGCTTAAGTCCATCCATCCAACCATTCTCTCTCTTTTCTTTTAGCTTAAGTAGGTGTTTGCTGCATGTGATGGGAGAGCAGTTAAAGGCCTATTGACTGAGCCAGTGCTGGCGCTCTAGATCATAACCACTAATGAATGAGCTCTTAGCAACATTGGCATCGCTGCATATACAGGCAACAGCAGAAGGGAGTGAAAAGGTGTTGGAAAAAGAGCAAGAAAGGAGGGCTACATGCTAAATCCTGAATTCAGTGTGATGGCTCAACTATAACTTTTTCTTTTGACTACATATGTAATTTTTCTATCATTTTCAACCTATTTGTATCCATTTCTCAATACTGAGAACACTTTTTCAACTAAATTTTCAATAATATTTACAATTCTTAAATAAAAACAATATTAAAATGGATTCCGAAAAATTGTTTCCCATCCAACAGGCCAATAGTTTCTTTAGGACAAGGCATGGATCTGGAGCTTACCAGCAAAGGAAATAAGTCAGACTAAACCACCCACCAATGAAGAATCAACACACACACACACACACACACACACACACATCTAAAGTCACCAAGAAATCAAAATTTGCGTTTTTTGGCTTTTTGTATGAATATGTTAGCCTCGCGGTTATCTATAAGCTAGTGTGCTCCAAAACAATAACAAAATTCGCATTTAAAAGATATAAGCGTATAAACCAATATGGATCAATGACTTTGATGACATCACTCTGCACTTCAGCTTCTCATCAGATTTTCTGTCCAATCAAATGTTCTCTAGAATCTAATGCATCCCGCCCCCTACATTAATAGATGCTGAAGCTGCGGTGAAAATCAGTCAATTGTTCACACATTTATTATTTTCTAAATGGTGAATGGCACATTGTGCACTATATAGAGGATATGGAACTATTCAGAGTGTAAATATGTGGTTTCTAATTAAGTATGGTTTCACGTTAGGGTTAATCGAATCGCCGCAGTGCGCACACAGTCTGCTCCGGTCCAGAGACAGCACAGAGCGGATCATATGCTCAAGTTATCCCATACCAGAAAACATATCAGACCCATTAGAATTCTGCACAGAATGCTATATTTTAAAGAGGTATGGAGGAAATTAGGAGGAGAAACGGTTATAGATTAGGAGGAAACTGCGGCTTTACCGAGCTCAACGGCTCTGGCCGATCTGTGATATAAACTAAACGCTATTGGCTATTTTAAAAAGGGGAGGAGCTGTTTGATATGTCCTGCCCTGTCCTGCTGTTTCAGTGGAAATTACATCAACACATTGAATAATACTGCGCATTTCAAGGCACATCAGTGGGCCTTTAAAGATCAGATGATCAGACCAGTGTGTGATGTGAGAACAGAGTAGTGTGTGATCAATTATTTACCTGCTATTGACCTCTTCTCAGGTTAGTGTGTATGCATGTGACTGTATATTGTTTGGGTCCAAATTTCTCCCCATAAATGAGATAATATGACAAAACTTCCCTTTGAAAGAGATGTGAAGAAGTCGTAATTAAAAAAAAAAAATCCTGATAAACAGATGACTGAATACGAATGGAAGAGCAGAAAGTAGATTAAAGCTGTTAGGTTTAATGAACAGGCATTAACTGTTTGTTTTGTTTCCTTTCTCTCTGTTTTTTTTTCTCCTTCTGTTTTCCAGTATCCTGTCCTCCGTGGGGTCAGAATTAGACCTGCGGACATTGCGAGCAGTCAGAGTGTTGCGGCCACTAAAATTGGTGTCAGGAATTCCAAGTGAGTGTTCTTTCTGTCTGCATTGATCAATGTCTGACAAAGCTCTCTGTGCAACATGCAATAATGTCATTACTCTCCAGGCCTGCAGGTGGTGCTGAAGTCCATCATGAAGGCCATGATTCCACTTTTGCAAATTGGCGTGCTCTTATTTGTGGCCATCCTTATGTTTGCCATTATTGGCCTGGAGTTCTACATGGGCAAATTCCACGAAACATGCTACGACAATGTCACATGTGAGCTTTTCTCAAAGATGAAAGAAAATCAGTTGACCTTTGAATTGTATGCCTTTTACCAAAACCTGTGCATTTACATTATTCAGTTGAGATTTTTGACGAACAGCCCTGTGGTGCTCGAAGCTGTCCGGACTGGTCGAATTGTATGGGATACTGGATCGGCCCAAACTATGGCATCACACAGTTCGACAATGTCCTTTTTGCCGTGCTCACTGTTTTCCAGTGCATCACCATGGAGGGTTGGACGGACATGCTTTATTACGTAAGAGTAAAAGCCAATGATTTAACTCTGATTCCATTTTTAAAATTGGATCTAGATGACAATATTTGATAAATATTTGTGTATTACAGAGCAATGATGCCTTAGGGAGTGCATGGAACTGGATGTACTATGTTCCCCTCATCATCATAGGATCCTTCTTTATGCTTAATCTGGTGTTGGGTGTCCTTTCAGGGTAATATCTATCTATCTATCTATCTATCTATCTATCTATCTATCTATCTATCTATCTATCTATCTATCTATCTATCTATCTATCTATCTATCTATCTATCTATCTATCTATCTATCTATCTATCTATCTATCTATCTATCTATCTATCCATCTATCAATCTATCTATCTATCGTCTTGTGTGTCATTTATCAATCTGTCTATTGATTGTTCTTTTATTTATCTATGTCTATTTATATCTATGTCTATCTGTCGTTCTATCTGTGTATTGTTCTATCGTTCTATCAATCATACTACCTATTTATTTTTCTATTGTGTCTGTTGTTCTATCTATTGTTCCATCCATCCATCATTTGTATAAAATGTTCCTATATTTGTTTTTGGTTAATAAGTTGCTAACTATATAGGTATCTTTTTAATTTTTTCTGGTTTCCCTGCAGCGAGTTTGCCAAAGAAAGAGAGCGTGTGGAGAACAGAAGCGAGTTCCTCAAGCTCAAACGTCAGCAGCAGATAGAGAGAGAACTCAATGGATATCTGGAATGGATCTGCAAAGCAGGTCTGTGCATAAAACACACAAACAAATGTATAGATATAAATGAATGTCCTGAATTATCTGCAGAATGTAACCAATAGTTTATACTAATTTGGACCTGTTATTGCATAAAGAAAATGCATGTAAAAATACTGGAAACTTAAAATTGAATATAAATCAAGCATTTTTCAATACTCTCTCTGTCTCTTTTTTCAGAGGAGGTCATACTCGCTGAGGATGACATTGGCCCCGGTGACAGTATGAATGTTCCTGTTTTGTGCATGCTAAACAAAGTCACAGAATTTAAACATGCTATAATGCCTAAAATGCAGTAATAATTCACACTCCCTGAATGTGTTTTTGCACAGGATCTCGTCGCAGGCCCACATTAAAGAAAAACAAAGCTGACCTTTTAAATCCAGAAGAAGGAGAGGACCACATGGGAGATGCAGTTGGTACGAATCATTCAGATCATATAGGAAAGCAACTATGATTATTAAATGTTTCTTTAATTGGATGGAAATTAGCTTAAGCTAAATCTGGTGCAAAGCATCTTTAATTAATGTTTTTTGCACATTGTCCCTGTTGAAATAAAAAAAAAGAAAGAAAGAAAGAAATTTGTAACACAGAGGAAGTGATCTGGATGTTGTCACAATGTTATGTGCGTATGTTCTCAGGGTCGCCTTTTGCTCGTGCGAGCATAAAGAGCGGGATGGGTGACGGAACTCCGTTTAACAAGAAAGAGCGCCGTCTTCGCTTCTTTATTCGAAAGATTGTAAAGACTCAGACGTTCTACTGGACCGTCCTCAGCCTGGTGGGACTCAACACACTGTGCGTGGCCGTCGTACACTACGATCAGCCCGAAATGCTGTCAGACTTCCTCTGTGAGTTGTTTGTTTGTACATTTGTTATCGTGGCAGACCTATTTTTGAATCTGGCCAGCATTATGTCCCATTGTCCATTTCACTCCTCAAATAGTTTTCGGTTTTGCTGTCAATAAACTCCTTACTCGCCTCTGTTTCCTTTTATCCCACTTTCTGTCTTATCTCTCTTTCTCTTTTCTCCAGATTATGCTGAGTTCATTTTCCTAGGCCTCTTTATGTCAGAGATGCTGATTAAGATGTACGGACTGGGGACGCGCCCTTATTTCCACTCCTCGTTCAACTGTTTCGACTGTATCGTGAGTGCCCTTCTCTCTTGGCCCATTTAAAGTCTCACTTTCTCTCCCTTTCGCTTTTTTTATTTTTATCTCTGCCTCTGTTTTTAACCTCCACAAGCCGCTGACCTACATTAGATGCAGACTTAAGTCCTTGTTAGCCAGTCCTTAGAGTGTTCCTTATTTGTGTAACTGTGTACGTGTTTCAGGTCATCGTTGGCAGCATATTTGAGGTGTTCTGGGCCATGGTAAAGCCAGGGGCGTCCTTTGGAATCAGCGTGTTACGAGCTCTCCGACTGCTTAGGATCTTCAAAGTCACCAAGTGCGTTCTGTTGCTTTCATTCAATCTCTTGAGATTTGAACCAAGAACAAGATTACACTGCTTATTTTTCATGTCTTCGGTTTGTTTAGATTAAAGGAATTGTTCAAGCAAAAATTGTTTTCTCATCCTCACGTCTCCAAACTTCTTTCAACATGGAATACAAAATAGATCATGCTCTTTTCCATACAATGAAAGTCGTTGGAAACTGGGGCTTTCAAGCACCAAAGTAGTCCAAATACTATATTCCACATCTTCTAAAGCCATATGATGGATTTGTCCGAAGAAAATACTGGAATTTAAGCCATTTGTCAATCTTGAGTTTGAAGCAACGTCAGGGGAATAAATGATGTTAGAATTTTAGTGTTTATTATATTTCTTCCTCTGTCTCTCTGTCTTTTTCAGATACTGGGCGTCTTTGCGTAATCTGGTAGTGTCTCTTCTGAACTCCATGAAGTCCATTATCAGTTTACTTTTCCTTCTCTTCCTCTTCATCGTGGTCTTTGCTCTTCTCGGCATGCAGCTGTTCGGTGGACAGTCAGTATAGATCTACATTTCGCTGCCAACTCTCTTAATCAGTTTCTCAGTTAGATACAGACAATCAATTATTATGCATAGCATGTTATCATTGTAAAAGTCCATTTGATGTTTTTTTCAATTTTTTGCCAGGTTTAACTTTGAGCAAGGCACTCCTCCCACAAACTTTGATACTTTCCCTGCTGCCATAATGACAGTGTTTCAGGTAGGTTATATTAGCTTGACAATAGCTTCCAAAACCTTGCAATCTGCCTACATATACAGCATTCTAAGGCACGTACAGATATAATAATAGTTAATTATTCTTAAAAGAACTTACAATTTCTGTGATAAAATAGACCATGTTTGTGTGTTTCAAGAGCACCTGTTTATATAGCATATATATGTTTATATAGATTCTAACAGGAGAGGATTGGAACGTGGTGATGTATGATGGCATTAAGTCTCAGGGAGGGGTGGACAAAGGAATGATCTTCTCCGTATTCTTCATTGTCCTCACACTCTTTGGCAACTGTATCCTTCTTAATCACATACAAACACACAAGCATTTTCGTTACTACATAACGGGTTGGTACATTTTTATGTTTTGAAAAAAGTCATCACCATGTACGCATTTATTTTATAAAAAATACAGTAAAAACAGTAATATCATGAATTATTATTATAATTTATTTTAATATATTTTGAAATGTTATTTATATCTGTGATGACAAAGCTGAATTTTCCACTGCCATTACTCCTGTCTTCAGTGTCACATGATCCTTCAGAAATCATGCTGATTTGGTGCTCAAGAAACATTTCTTATTATTATCAATGTTGAAAACAGTTATGCTGCTTTTATTATTTACCATAATCAATTTTTTTCAGGAATCTTTGGTGAGTAGAAAGTGCTGGAACAGCATTGATTTGAAATGAATATTTATAGAACTTTTTTTTAAATCTACCTACATGATGTGAATTGATGAATTGGATGAATTGGCAGTTATTGTAGTGGAATATTTGTAACTGAACTTTGGATTAGGGATGTCACAAGATAAGATATTTGTCAATGATGCTCAGGATCTGTTACGCACCAAATCTGCCATCGTCTTGTCAGTCATCCCTCTTTACTCTCATCACGTGATAAGTGAAATCTGACACAGTGTCTATGACAAACTATGTAAAACACAAGTCCTGTCTGTTGTTTCTTAACCCTGTCCTCTCAGACACACTACTGAATGTATTCTTGGCTATCGCTGTGGACAACCTGGCCAATGCTCAGGAACTAACTAAGGTTAAACACAATTTCTCTGTCTCAGATTCACCATTCATGTAAATTTCTCCCCAGAACAATTTAGCTAATTTTTATATGCCATGCGTTAGCGTTTTTTTTATTAATTTTTTTTATTTTCTAGGATGAACAACAAGAAGAGGAGGCCACATCACAAAAGCTTGCTCTTCAGAAAGCAAAAGAAGTGGCAGAAGTGAGCCCACTGTCTGCTGCCAACCTCTCTATTTCTGCGTGAGTTACTCTACACACTAAAAATCCACACCTTTACAAATACGGATACACGCACAAATTTACCTAGATGGGTATGTTTCTTTTGACTTCTACTTTTCTTAAAGGTGAATTGCAAAAATAATGACTGCCGTGGATCGAACAATCAGAATTCAGGGGACAAATTTTGCCAATGTTGTGCCCAAAAGTAATAGCTTGGTCAGAGATACACACACACCATAGCAATGAAGCCATACCCAGTTTTTCATAAATATTCATGATCAAAAGGTGAAATTCTTACAAGACACCTCTGACACTCAATGACACGTAAATACCATGAATATGCATATATATGCAAATGAGTCCTAATACACTTGCACATTAATGTCACAAACTGACATAATATAGTACACTTTAACTTTATTACTGTAAGAGGCCTTGTCTGATGTCACAGGAATTTGATCTGGTACCGTAAGCTAGTTTAAATGCTTAAAGCTTAGCTTAGCTGAGTTTAGCTTAGCCTGTCAGCTTAACTTTATCATCTTGTTTGAGTAAATCCACTCTAATTCACTTTCCAGCAGACTTGCTTAAACCTGCTTGATCATATAGTATGAAACCCCCTTAGGACCATTTCTTTTTTTGTTGTTAAGGGATAGTTCACCCAAAAATGGAAATATTTGTCATTTACTCAACTTTATGTTGTTCCAAATCCGATATGACTTTGTTTTATTGCAAAGAACACACAAAAAAAGATATTTTACAGAAGGCCTAAGCTGCTCTGTTCCTTGTGTTTGTAATGCAGACAGTGAACAGTGGCTGCCAAACCCCCCAAAATAGACCAAAATAATACCAAGAAAGACAAAAACCATGAAAATGCATATGACTAATAAGTCTTTTGAAGGCATGCCTCAGAACACATATTATGAGTTAAATTTGCAGTTGAACTACAGTTGTATGTGTGGTATCTGTTTGTGACGTGGGTTTTTCTATAAGGTGTTTGGTTCCTCATTAAATTCTTCATTCAGTTACTAAAAATGGTCAATAATGTTTTCATTTTTTGTGTGTGTGCTTGTATGTGTGTATGTTATAATTAACTAACACTTACACTATGACCTAACCAGGCATGATGCGACAAGTTTTCAGTGATAAAATGTGTCTTTCCACACTGAAAGTAAAAATGCTGAACATCGTGAAACAATCAAGCAGAACATATTTGATGTTTAACACTGTTACATGGAGATTTAAGACCAATGAGATTTTACTGTCGTCACTTTATTGTGTCTGATTAGGACATGGTTACACATTTATAGTGAAAATAAACATTTAGTCTATTTATTTTTGTTTGGTAAATAAATATGTTAATAACTTGACTGTGGTTAGTCAGATAAGTTTAAGGATAACATGACACAAACCTGGAATTTGGAATAGTTAGTATGCCAGCAAGCAGGTTTGAGAAGTTTTATATTTTCCTTGTTTTAAAAAGCGTGAAATTCCTGGTTTATGCCAAGTCATCCCTAAACATGTTTGACAAACCAAACAAGTTACCTTCAGTGAACGGGACCCTTTGAGGCCTGTTCGCTTTGTCAGGTGTTTCTGTGATAGTTGTGGCAGCGTTGTTTTTATGTTCCTTGTTTCACCCCCCTCTCCTCAGAGTTACAGTAAAATCTGAACGTATCGATGCCACAGACAGTTTACTGGACTGGTATTTATTTATTTACTTACTCATTTTTTTGTTCTGTTTCCCTTTTTCTTTTGCTTTCCGCCTTCCTCATGTTTTGTATGGGTGTTTTTTTATGTTACCTGCTGCTGTAGCTGCAGTCTTGTGTTGTAACACTGAGGCTGAGGTATCATTGGCTGTGATGACACACACTGTCTCCTCCACAGCAGCACTGCAAGCACAGGGCTGCTTGTATCGCTGTTTTGGTCTCGATCCATCTCTGCCTTCCTCTCTCAGTCTGTCTGTCTGAACATGTCTCAGTGCTCAATGCTATTTTTCAGTATGTCCAAACCCTCCCCCCCCCCCCCCCCTCCCCTTCACAGAATTCATGAGCCACATCCATGTTCTCTTGCTGGGGACTAAGGGACACTATCATTTCCTTCCACCCTGGGTCATTGCTCATAGGTGCTTTAGGGGAGGAAAACTAAGGCTTTTCTTCCTCCCTTGGTTAAAATCATTCTCTGTTTTCTGTCTGTCTCTATTTCTTCACTCTGTAGTAAAGAGCAGCAGAAGAACTCGAAAGGTTCTAAGTCGGTGTGGGAGCAGCGCACAAGCGAGATTCGCAGACAGAACCTGATGACCAGCAGAGAGGCACTTTACAATGAACTTGATGCAGAAGATCACTGGAAGGTCAGAGACAATTCATAGATCCCGAACGAAGAGTGATGATGTTGTGATGATGACGTTTTTGTTTTTAGAAAGAAAGAAAGAAAGAGTTTCATTCAATGATTCAATTTTTATTCAGCAAGGATGCATTCATTTGATTGAAATGACAGTAAAGCTGTCAGTAACATTGTTACAAAAAACAGTAACATTGTTACAAAATTCTACTTCAAATAAATACTGTTCTTTTGAACTTTCTATTCATCAAAGAATCCTGAAAAAAACGTTTTACGGTTTCCACAACAACAACAACAACAACAAAAAGTGGCCAAATTTGCCCATTGGCCTCTGTTCATCATGGCCTCCTAATCATCCCCACATACTTCATCACCGTCTCCTCTCCACCAGTAAGCTGGTGTGTGGTGGGCGTTCTGGCGCAATATGGCTGCCGTCGCATCATCCAGGTGGATGCTGCACACTGGTGGTGGTTGAGGAGATTCCCCCTTCCATGTAAAGCGCTTTGAGTACCCAGAAAAGTGCTATATAAATGTAACGAATTATTATTATAGAATTTTAACATTATATGTAAATAGTTATTTCATATTGACCATTATTCTAATATCGGTGCTTTCCCAGTTCACAATAAAACTGGTTTTGTAACATATTAAAGGGGTCAATTTTGATTTAATGTTTACCACTCTTTTTCTTAGGAAAGTTACATTTTTGAATTGATCAAATCTACTTTTTGTATCTCTAGATGAACTACCGCAACCGTCCTGACATGAAGACCCACTTGGACCGCCCACTAGTTGTTAATCCTCAGGAGAACCGCAACAACAATACCAACAAGCCCCGACCGGGTGAACCAAACCCCCAGGAGCTGAACCAGCAGAGGGGTGAAGAATACTTGCAGCACCAGCCCCGATACCACCACCATCACAGTCATCATCATCACCACCACCACCACACCCACTCCAGCCGCCAGTCCCTACACCACCCAGAGCAGGGGGAGGCAGGGTGCGAATATGCCCAGAGAGGAGGCGAGGACGTGGAGGGCGCAGGCGAGCACAGGCGACCCAGGCACCACCAGCACAGAAGGAGGGATGAAGATGGAGCAGAAAGAGGGAGGAGACACAGAGAACACCACAGCAGAGGAGAGACAGGAGGAGAAGGGGAGGAGGGCCAAGAGAAGAGGCAGAGGAGGCATCGCCATGGAAACCATGGGGATGGAGATGGAAGGAGGGATAGGGAACGGAGTCGACAGCATCAAGCTAGAAAGTGAGTGTGCTAAATTTGTGTATCTGTGTTCGTTTGAAACAGCACAGGAACTTGATGTATTGAATTGAATCAGTGAATCATTATTTTGTTCAGTGAATCATTTACAAGAATCATCTAAATGAATCGACTGAAATAAATCTTTGAATATTAATAAAACTAAAATAGAAATAAAAATAAATAAAACTTTATATACATATATTTAAACATATATATATATATATATATATACGTATATACACACAACAACTAATAACAATGACAAAAACGCGCAACAAAATTACTGACTAAAATGAAAACAGAAATGATAAAAATAAATAAGACTTTTAAAATTAATAAAACTATAATAATATATTAATGATACTAAAATAACACTGCTCAGAATAAACAAATAATTCAAAATCTAAGCAGCTAATTACAGTATAACTGTTGTTTCACCTGTTAACCTGTCTTCCCCTGTTTTTATTTATTTATTTATTTTAAGAGAGGCTAGTTTATCGTTGGCCCGTCCAATTCAGCCTGGTCTGTCTCACACGGAGAGCCAGTACAGTGAGGATATGGACAACCTGCGAAACAGCAGCAAGATGGCCATCCATGACCCTGATCCTGATCTTTATGACCCCTACTGTGACCCAGAGCAAGCTAATAATCTGCTGAACCTGCGTGGACCAGATCTCCATGACAGCAGTCTCATTCTGACAGACTCCACCAAAACCCCCAGCAAACTCGACCACACTGCCATAGATATGCCCCCGATTTACCCCTCACTCAACGCCAAGTTACAAGGTGAGGGATGTGCATGTGTGATTACAGGAAACTTTTGGAGGATTAACTTTTAAACTTTTAACAGGATGGTTTACCCCAAAATGAAAATACTGTCATAATTTACTCACCCTCATATCTTTCCAAGCATATATGCCTTTTTTTCTTCTGTAAAACACAAAAGAAGATATTTTGATAAATAATAATATTTTGATACGTTTTTTTAATATTCATACAATACAGATCAATAGTCCAGTGTTGTTTCTGACCCCATTGACTTTCTTTGTATGCGCAAAAACAGTTTATAACAGTTTTATAACAACATGAGGGTGAATACATTAATACACAAAAAATTGTGTGTGAAGTGAACTATCTCTGTAAATCTTAGGCCCCAATCTATACACCTTTGTTCACATTTCATTGCATTCATTTTAAAAAGAAAAACTGAATTTAAATGTGGTCAAATGTGTTAAATGTAGCTTGAGATTGGTTGCTGAAATATACTAAATTGCACCCAAAAAAATTTTTTTTGAAGTATAATTTTTAAATATAGAAATTATAAAAAAAATTGCAGTTCAATCATGACAACTCTCGAAATAGTTTTAGCATGTTCATGAATATGGCAATGTTAATGTATTTGGTCTTGGCGGACTAGATCTGCTACGCTGCTGCTGTTAATTATTGCTGCTGCTGCAGATCAAATTCAAATTCAAAAAACTTTATTATCTATCAACCAGTGATAGAAATTTGTCTTTGGTTAAAAAGGCTCACATATACACAATACAATCACACACACATCACAATTTAAAATTGTTACAAGGAAAAAAGTAGGCCTGCCTTACACTATGTAAAACAATAAAGGCTCAAGCCCAATATACTAATATACAAGTATGGACTTGGTACTGCCAATATATACACAGACACGCTGCTGTGATCATGTTAGAGATGCTGCTGCTGCATAAATAGACAAACATAAATCCTGTAGCAAATCTAGATAGGTGGAGCTGGGGGACGTGGAGCGTAATAGAGGAACTCTGATAGTGCGCTGCAGGACTAGCTTACAGCAAATTTTTAAATGCTAAGCAAGCAATCTCACTGGCTGCAGGATCGGCAGAGGCCAAAGATGTTATTGCTTGCAGACTGCAGGTAAAGGACCAATCAGACCAAACTAAATATTTATTATAAGGAAAAACAAATAAGCATTAATTTTTTTATTTTTTTAGAATTCTTAGGGCACAGATTCTGTGCAAGCCTATTAGTGGCATTATGCATTTATGGTCAGACAATTATTAATGTTTAAAAGCTGATGTTGGACTGTTTTATACTTGATTATGTTTATGGATTTCTGAGCATTTCTTTCTTCTCACATTCCCTTCATTGTGCAGTGAACAAAAATGCCAACACAGAGCCGGCTAAAGAAGGAGAGAAGAAAGAAGAGGAAGAAGACAATGGTGGCGACGAAGACGGACCCAAACCCATTCCCCCATTCAGTTCCTGTTTCATTCTATCCACAACCAACCCGTAAGTGTGTGTTCAAGTGTGTAAGTGCATGTGTGCAAAGTAAATTTTACTTATCATAACCAATGTGGGTTTTCAGGTTCCGGAGATGCTGTCACTACATACTGACGCTACGTTATTTCGAGATGTGTATTCTGTCAGTCATCGCTATGAGCAGTATTGCATTAGCGGCTGAAGATCCCGTATCGCCAGAATCACCTCGAAACAACGTAAGACTAATGTTCTGAATATTTTTTGTGTTGAAACTATCTAACCTTTCTAGATGTAATGTTCTGCCTACTTGAAAATACCACCAACCAGAATGAATTTTGGGCATTCAACATACTGCTATGTGGTGCAGTATTTTGGACCAATGAGATTTAGACCAATAAGTTTTAGAAGAGATCTTAACATTGTCTCAAGCGGTGCTTTCAAATAAATCTTCTTTCACAAATAAATATTTTTAATAGAAATTTTTATGAAGTCATTTTTGGCCCATATTGAAACTACGACCAACAATCAGAAATATTTTAGATGTTTGACATCTGCAGTGTTTTGAACCAATGAGATTTCACTGTGGGCGGGACAACACGAGCAACCAACAGCTAGTCCTAACAGCTAGTTTGGACAAAACTCAGATTTAAATGGATTTGATGTGATTTGTTTTGGTTGCTTTGTTCTCGTATAGACTGTATTTGATGGCAAACATTTTCAATGCATTTGCTTTCTTTTTTCCAGGTTTTGCGTTACTTTGACTATGTATTCACGGGTGTGTTCACCTTTGAGATGCTCATCAAGGTAAAGTGTCCACGAGATGATTTGTGCGGTGGATTTTTTAGTATGTCGTTTTATCTATTTGCTTTAATCCTGTGCTCTGTGTTTCAGATGGTGGTGTTAGGCTTGGTTTTGCATGAGGGCTCATATTTTCGTGACCTCTGGAACTTTCTGGACTTTGTAGTGGTTAGTGGTGCCCTGGTAGCCTTTGCCTTCACGTAAGTGCCCTTTGCTCCTCCGTTTCCTGCCCCCACAGTGCTGCCTTCTGCCCTTTATCTTCTCTTCTGCCACCCTGTTTCCCCACTGCCACCTTGGAGTCTCTTTAATACTTTCTGCCACTTTCTCTCTTGGTCTCTTCCTCTGTTCTTCTCCTGTCAGCACTGCATGCTCTTCTCAGCTCTCTATTTCTATTTTTTTTTTGGTCACTTTGCATTCTGTCTCACTCAATCAGACACGAAGATGAAGGTCTTTCTCTCTTTACACACACTCACGCTCACACAAACACTCACTTTCTGTCAGGACTGGCCTGTCTGTCTCTATATTTTCTCTTTGACCAATGAGCTCCCCCAGCTTTCTTCTTGGCCTCAGCCCTATTTCTTTCCCATTCAACTCCTGCCATTAGTTCTATGTGATGCACACAAACTTTTTCCCTCCATTATACTGTGTCCGACACTTCTGTTTCGTCCCTCACCATTCATCTTTTATCTCATCTCACACTCTGTCCTTCCTCCTGGTGCTAAAACAACTTTTCTTTGTTTCCTCCTTTAACCGTGACTTTCAATCAATCCATAAACTCTAGATTCTCTGAAACAACTCCAGTCAAAACCAACAAATGCACAAATGGGATCTTAGTGAAATGATCCAAATTGAGCAAATGGAGAATTCTGCTCAAATCTCAGATATGCGTTTTTTTTTTTTTACATAAATGTAATACATTTTTTATCTAATAAAGTTTAATGATTGATTGATTTTATTTTATTTATTTGAAACTCTACCATGACCCAATGTAAAATTAAAAACAGATATTATGTTTTAAAAAAATCTAATAAAATAAATTAATAAATCTAATCAACTTTTACTAGTACATTCATTTATTTATTTAGTGAGTTAGTTAATAGATTTTTTTAGAAACTCTACCATGATATGTAATTTACAGAATTGGTTAAACATAAGCAAAACGTTTGTTTTGTTGGAGTATCAGGGCTCTTTTCCATCGTCATTACTCCACCAACCAAGTATTCACCATAACCTTGTCCCCTCACACTTTCCCCCTGCTGAGAAGGGTAGTTTTGTGCCCTTTGGGGCCCTGTGGGGGTGAGGGGTCTCCAGGCACCTGTAGCCCTTTAGTGCCCAGGCGGTTTCCATGTTTGGATCAGCGAGAGCCCGTCCTGCCACAGGTACTCTGGTTTCTTTCCTATGCACGGCCTGGGGGAGCAGCAGCCTGGGGATTTAAAGAGAGTGGTTGAAGAATAAAACTGAACCCCAGAGTGGGAAGATCAGCTAGTCACTAAGAAAGGAGAGCAAGTGAACACTTGCTGATGGGGCTTTGAGCGTGGAATGATTTTTACTCTTGTTTAACCCTTTTTGGTTATTCTTTTAAGTGTCTGTTGTGCATGTATGATCTAGTATGTGTACATCCTCCTCAGCCCCATAGGCCAGATATGTGTATACAAGAAACACGTTTTTCATGTTTGTAAAATTATGTGGTGGATTGCTGGGTGTCATAAATGGCATAACTCTGGTTTTTGTGGCATTAAAAATGTGTCTGCACACTTTTAAACAAGACTTTAGAACAATAATAGCAAAATAAAATAGGTAAGTTTATAAATATCTCATGCATAGTTTGAGATCTTTTTTGATGAGGTATAGGCATCTATCTGTTTATTATGTGTGATTGCACGTGTTTACATTATTGCATGTGCATTCAGTTCAAATTCTTTTTTCAGCTGCGCATTTAGCCAACATCATAACATGTGACCTTAAAAGAAATAATCACCTTCAAATCACATGCTACTAGTAATTCTGAAAAAAAAATCCATTCTAAATAGCAACTTGCTAGCTAACCAAGAACATTTTGAAATAGTCTTAAGTTGTCACTTGCTTCACTGTTTGTCAAACTCTTTTGTCTTTGTTAACACTTTGCTATCCAAACGTCTTTACAAGCAACATTGGCTCCAACAAGCAATAAAAATTAGGGACTGAGGAAGGTGGACATGATTATTTACATCAGTCAAACTATCAGCATACATGCACTGGCCTCAAATTTAATATGTAGATTTGAGATTTAATCTAATTGTGGTAGGCCAATTTTTCTTCTCCTGTTTTTACTGAAATATTTGCCAAGATAATTCACATGGTATGCTGATATGAATGACTGTTAGCTGAATGCCTGTAGTGAAACCTATCAGGCCGTACAGTATGTTCGAATACACATGGCCTGATATGTTTAAATCCTGCTTTGAGTTAAAAATCACTCCACACATAACGCCCAGTTTTCATTCCCCTCCCCTGACCCTAATCTAAATGAACCCTCTCCACCCTCTCAACCCTGTTTCTGTCCTGTGTCTTTTCCTGTTCTCATTCCTCAAAACAATTCTTCCCCATCCAATTTCCTTTCCTTTCCTTTCCTTTCCTTTCCTTTCCTTTCCTTTCCTTTCCTTTCCTTTCCTTTCCTTTCCTTTCCTCTCCTCTCCTCTCCTCTCCTCTCCTCCTCTCCATCAGCACTAAGCTGCCTTGGACCGACTCCAGCTGTCAAGCTGTTTATCATTTGGGCCTCCATTTGTTGAGTCTGACAAAGTGAGTGAAAAAGAGAGACCACAAGAGATGTGGAGAGATAGAGAGAACAAGAGATATAAAAGGATATGGTAAATGAAATAAAGGAACACATTAAAAGAAGACTCCAGGTTGACAGTTGCTTCTCATTAATTGGTGTTTTTGATGTTTGTTCATCATCTGTCCTTCATCTCATTCTCTCTCTCGCACTCACGCACATATGAAATGAAAGGTTATACCGTTTCATTTTAACCTGTGATTATTTACTCACTGTCATGCTGTTTCAAACCTGTATGTTGTTTTTTTCAATATGCCTCATTTTCCGTTCCATGGTTAAAAAAAAACATCTTGCAGGTTTGATACAACATAAGGGTGAATAAATAATTACAAAATGTTATTTTTGAGTGAACTATTGCTTTAAGTCTTGTTCTCTCCACTGCAATACACTTTCTAAATGGATGCATTCTGGGTATAGGCATGGTCATATGACACACAAGCATCTCTGATTACCCAGAATACCTTGGTTTGGTGGAGGAAAGGCTTGCCCGTTTGTTATAGTCTCACAATAAGAACAAAACGACTCAACAAATGATTATGCTTTTGGCACCTTCATTCTTAGAATAAAGAATGAAGTTATTACAAATACCTGTGAAGCATGTAAACAAATAGGTGCTGGAAGTTTGGATTGTTAAATTAGGTATGTGTGGGGTTGTGGACTGTATGTGCTGCTTGAAAGTTACTCAAATAAATACCGTCGAACACTGCCACCTTGGGGTGACAGTAGTGTGGCGGCCATTTTGGCTCCATTGCAGTCGGTTATGGATTCCACCTCCATTCTGGCTCAAGTGTCTGATACAGGGTACTGATTCAGGGGTAAGGTGGCGAGAATCTCCCCCTGCTCTCAGAGTTGGCATGGCAGAGGGAGGATTCTCTCCTACTGCAGTGGGTTGTCCTAATCTATAAGTGTGACAAGTTTAAATCCTTAGTTATTGATTGGGGACAGGCCCAGAGTAAAGACCTGCCAAATACCTAGCAGGGGTTAGTGTATGAGAATGATTCAGTCAGAGTCAATACGGCAAAGAGCAGCAGACTCATGCTCGAAATTGCCACACACACTCAGTTTGTGTGTGTGTGTGTGGCAATTGCGAGCATGAGTTAATCACTAACAAAGCAGCTAGAATTTGATCAGCAGATCAGTACACATTAATTTTTATTATAATATTTGTATAACATTTTATTATAATATAATTAGATTTTATTATATGTATATAATAATATTACATAATAAAATATGATCATATATGTATTATTATGATTCTGAAAACTGTTTATTGATATATATATATAATCTTTTATCAGATAATGAGCTTGTTTGTGAAATGAACAGATAGATATGATCTTATCTTAGAAGAACTGTACACTACTTGTTTATTAGATCTCTCAACAGCTTTCTAAAGTTTTAAGGATTTCGTCTGGATTTTAAGACTGATTGACCCTTAGTTAATCCCTGCCTCCAACATTACTGGCAAAACCCACCTTAGCAACTGTTGCTGACTAATATGCGCCTATGGAGGAATTGTTTTGTTTGATAGTTTTAGCCCAACATTTTACAGACATTATTAAACAAATATGCAAATAAGCATATATAGATGAATTTCATGAAAATCTCCAATTCACTCCTATGGTACTCTTTGTAAAGCTTGTGTGAGCGAATAAAAGTAACCAAGTTGGCAGCGCTTGACAAAGGGTCAGTTATATGTGTCTATAGAATTGTTTTGGAATACATTACTTAAAGATGCACTAAGCAAAGTTTCAATATTGACCACTGTTGGAGGGGATGTTGTATCACACAAAAGCAGTTGTTTTTTAATTACCAATTTGTCAGCCGTGATCAATTTTGCAGTAATTTGAATTAACGTGTCAAAAGTCCTATTATATGTGTAAAACATTGCTTGGTGCATCTTTAATTTTGTTTGACTTTACTTGATCTGTAGTTTTAAATATCTGAACACGGGGGCTTTCAACTTTCTTAATCATTCGCTGGAGTTTTTTTGTTTGGTCCTTTTTCTCTGTTTGTCTGTCTCTCATATTGATGTTGTTCCTCTGCAAACCACTCCCAGTATCTTGTTTCTTTTTCTGTCTCTCTTTCTCTTTTTCTGTGTGTGTGTATTCCTCTCTTTTCTGTCTCTTTCTTTCTTCCGCTGTCTGTCTCTGACCTCTCTTATGTCTACGCCTTGGTGATCAACAGGAGCCTCTCTCGGTAAAGTCTCCCCTCCTTATTGTCGCACGGCTACCGTCCAGCTCACGCGATGGCTTCTCTCTCTTTCTTTCTTTTTCCCTTCCCGACAATCACTCCTCCTCCCTTCCTCTTTGCTCATCCACTCTGGTTCTCTCCATCCCACTGCTTGTTTTATTCTGCCGTGACTTACATTGGTTATAACGGGTCCATCTGTGGACCTAAACGTCTGAACACAAAGATACAGAAGAGATCGCACTTTTGTACACTGCTTACAGTACTGCACACCTTTCTCTGAGCACAGTCAGGAGCGAGTAATTGATTATTGGTAACCTGGACCTTTTCCAATGCTCCGACTCAATCAATCTGTCATGAGCTGGCTGGTCTTCAGCTGGGACTTGCCTGGAAGTTCATAGTTAAAGACAGCTGTCTTGGCCGCTTGATTGAAGAGTTCACTTCTGTTTGTGTTTGGGACCTGTGTAAATACTCTGCCACATTCATAAGACTGAGCTTGGCTCAATAAGGAATCATTCTTGATGGCTAACACTGTCTACACTGGATTCAAGATCACTAACATTATCATTTAATAGACACTAGAAACGCCAGGTACTTTATCTACTCCAGCCACTTTTTCACCATCTTTCTAAAATAAAATAACTTTATTCACAAATGTTAAATGTCATTTTTTTTACTATGAATATTATTAGTATATATAGTGCTGTCAAATCGATTATTCGTGATTATTTGTGTTTATATAATGTGTGTGTACATACATGGATGCATATATATGCTGTATGTATGTGTGTATATATATGTACACACATATTTATATATATATATAAATATGATATATTCACACACATATAATATAAATGCAAACTTTTATGTTAGATGCGATTAATCACAATTTGACAGCACTAGTTATATATTTAAATAACCTCATTATTAACCCATTATTAACCTCATTATTTTCTTTTTATATTTATTTTTAATTTGTTTGTTTTTATTTATTTACCAAGCATTCATTTATTTTCATGTAATTTATATATATATATATATATATATATATATATATATACTGCATATAACCCATGCAAAGTCCATTTAATTCCCCCTGATTTCTGTTAGCAATTAAGCTATTCTTTTTTTAACCTTGATCTTACAGCTGATTGATCCGTGTTCATGAATATTTTAGGATAATCAATTTTGCAGCTTTCCAGTGTAGACAGACTATGGCACTATACATCAAGTTTCCTGGTCAAAAATTCTTCAAAATGGCAAGCATTTCTTGACGATTTTCTTGTAAAAATCCAAATGGCAGGAAATATATTGACAGTTTTTCCTTTTGTTTCCCTTATTGGTTTGAATGCAATGAAATGTCCTTGTAACTTGTCTTTGTCTCCTGGTTTGAGCTTCCTCAAGTTCTTCTAGGGACAAGATACAGTTGGACTCAAGTCCGCTAGCCTTTTGCATCTCAGTGAACCCTCAGTCTTGTCATGTTACCTACAATTAACACAAACAGCCTCCATATCCCAGACCTCCATTCCCTTGTCTGCTCTAACACAGCTAAAAAAAAAATTAAAAAGAAAGAAAGAGGTTTGGCTGGGCATTGCACCAGAAAATGCCTGACAGTTTTGATACTTACTTGAATGTGTTATGCTTTTGGAATGTCCAGAGAAGAAAACAAGTAAACCAAAAACCATCGATGGTTGAGAATCTGAAGGCCTGTGAAAACTTGCTTGAAAAAAAAGAAAGATTTTTGATAATAAGAATTCCACAACAAATGAGTCTACATACAACATAGTATTAACTGTTGCATGGTGATATTGAAACTATCTTCTACATTAAGAGTAAAATGGAAGCTCAAAGAATGATCTAGAAGTGAAATGTGATGAAAATAGATGGAGACGGTCTTTCAAAATGTCCGTATCACTCTTTCGGTCTCATTGTACAGCATGTTAATGTCCTGTTGTTTGCCTCCACTCCTCAGGGGGAGCAGTAAGGGGAAAGACATCAGTGTCATCAAGTCTCTGAGGGTCCTAAGGGTGCTACGTCCACTCAAGACCATCAAACGTCTTCCTAAACTAAAAGTACAGTCAAAGATGCACACATACACCTACACAGCTGTGATACATGTTATCGCATCATCCTGATTTCACATGTTTTGTTTGCTACATTAGTGCACTATACTAATTTCATTCGTCTCTTTCTCCCAGGCGGTGTTTGACTGTGTAGTAAACTCTCTGAAGAACGTGTTGAACATCCTCATTGTCTACATGCTGTTCATGTTCATCTTCGCTGTGGTGGCCGTGCAGCTCTTTAAGGGACGATTCTTCTACTGTACCGACGAGTCCAAAGAGTTCGCCCGTGACTGCAGGTAAGGAGAGATGACCTGCAATTAAAGATGATTTTAATAAAAAAATCTGGCGACATGGTCCACAGTAATACACTTAAGGTCCGATCACACCAATGATAACTATAAATGTAACTTTATCGATAACCATATTAGCATCCACACCAATGCATGATAACGGTCTGTTTATTATAAGCATGTGCTGTCATTTGCCACTTTAAATGTTTGACCTTTTTAAAGTCGGGTGGATTCTGATTGGGGTCGATGTTTTTATCATTCCTTAGCTCTAAAAAGTTGTTCCAACAATATTGTTCCTCTGTGCCATTACCGTTGTATATCCGTTATAGAATTACAACAATTACTAAAACGTTATCGTCCTTGGTGTGAACTGCTCTATACTCACCCATGATTATGAAAAAAGGCAGTTTGTTGAGTTTTTCATGTGTATTTGTGTTTCAGGGGCGAATATTTGGTGTATGAGCGTAATAACGAGGTCAAATCGCAGAAGCGGGAGTGGAAGAAGTACGATTTTCACTACGACAACGTGCTTTGGGCCCTGCTTACTCTCTTTACTGTGTCCACTGGAGAGGGATGGCCGCAGTGAGTTGGCATTCACTCACAAATAAGCGCTTGTGTGCCATCTCTGGTGTCATCGCCTCTTCCTTTCTTTTCTCTTTCAGGGTGTTGAAGCACTCTGTGGACTCCACTTATGAGAACCAGGGCCCGAGCCCGGGGTACCGGATGGAAATGTCCATCTTTTACGTGGTGTACTTCGTTGTCTTCCCCTTCTTCTTCGTAAACATCTTTGTAGCTCTCATCATCATCACTTTCCAGGAGCAAGGAGACAAGATGATGGAGGACTACAGCCTCGAAAAGAATGAGGTAATTGCTATTTTATTCAAATGAGTAAACCAAACTAACATACCTAATTTTGACCAAAATTTCAGGCAACATCCTATAAATCCTTCAATTGCATTGTGTGCATTGTGTTTATAAAATTATATCCGAGATTGTGGACAGTTTAGTTAACAAATAACAAAAACAAAAAAAATTGTTTATAACAAAAATTAATAACATGCAAGATGACAAAACAAAAACGGTACAAATAAAGATTGGCACAGTTAGAACAACGCTAGCAAAAGCTTTGACTAAACAAGAGCAGCAAAAACAGTGACGTCACACTGGTTATTAATGATTGACAGCGAAAATGAAAACAGAAGGCATGACAGAGCAAGAGAGAGCCACACACAAAATAATAATAATAATTTAATATAAAATATTTTTGTACATATGGGGATCAGACACTCCAAGCACAGACACAAACACTTGCTCTGGCAGAGGAACTGTTCACTGGATGTTGTTGGACTTTTCTACAGTTCAATAGATGAGGCATGAATAATTACATCATTAGAAAACTTAGTTTTCCTATTCATGTATATAAAACTGTGTTTCTGGGGCATAATCGTCTCATTTCAATTGAGATGATTACATTTGTGCACACTTTTTTTTATATTTAACCACATGCTAATGTAAAAAAACAAAAAAACATCAGCTATGAGCATTAGTCGGTGCTATGATTAGCTATGATCCTTCTTTCACTGTTTTCTGTTGTTCTGTGTCTTCTAGAGAGCCTGTATTGATTTTGCTATAAATGCCAAACCTCTAACGCGCCACATGCCTCAGAACAAGCAAAGCTTTCAGTACCGAATGTGGCAGTTTGTGGTGTCGCCTCCGTTTGAGTACAGTATCATGGCTCTCATTGCGCTCAACACAGTCGTCCTTATGATGAAGGTACGAGCTTCTTCTTCCTCCCCTTGCATCAATCATGTCTGTACATCCATCAGGGTCTACATTTTCATTACTCTATGTTTCCAGTACGACGGGGCCTCCGAGGCGTATGATAAAGTCCTGAAGAACCTGAATATTGTGTTCACGACACTCTTCTTCATGGAGTGTATTCTGAAAATCATTGCCTTTGGTATCAAAGTAAGTCACACATCCTGCTCTTCCTAGCATTACTCATCGCACAATCTAAAGATATCACCCATTATTAATTCATACATCCTGTTACTTATTTAGACCTGAGATATTTATGAAACGTTTCTTTCCCTAACCCCTTTCGAAAAATGTGTTTGGGGAAAAAAAAAACATCTAATGCACTTGTCTGCCTGTCTCCATGGTGACAGGGATTTGATTGGCTATATTTCTTTAATAGTCTTGTCATTGCAGGATTGGGTAAAATATGGATCCTCGCTCCCCGAGAACTCTGACATGATTGGTTAACTCACGCTCTTCTTTTGTTTCTCTGCAGAATTATTTCCGAGACGCTTGGAATATTTTTGATTTTGTGTCCGTTATCGGCAGCATCACAGATATTTTAGTGACAGAGTTTGGGGTAAGTGCACTTATAGACAAGTTTAGAAAGCAAATACAGATTGCATCTTGATTCATGTTGGAATTTAATGGACAAATGTGAATTTAATTTTAATCCCTGTAAATGCAATCACTTCCCTTTCTTGTGACTGTAAAAAGTTGCATTGACACACATGAATATTTAAGTACTGAATATATAGCATGTTTAATACATCAACCAATTATTACACTTTTTCATATTTTACATGTTTAATAATGAGGAAGGTTTAAATGCAACTCTTCAAACTTTATTTTGTAAAATTGCTTGTCAGCAAAATGTTAAAACTTTTGTCTACTTGAATATTTACCCGTTCAGTCTTTCACATCACGTGTTCATGCTATTGCTAAGTGTTGTGTGTATTTGTACTGGGTGTTGTGTGTGAATGTCAGTGTTTAAGTGTGTATTTGTGCTGGTGTTGTTTCTTGTCTGTGCTTTTTGTGTGCTCTGTCTATAAAAACTAAACAGACACTTTACTCTGATGTGTTACACTGAAGTTTGTTGGCTCTCCCAGTGGCCACACATTACACAATGTGGATTCTTATTCCAACTTTCCCCTGAGCAGTATTATTTTTATACAATTACAGTATTTATACATATTTTGAAATACATTTTTATTTTATCTTCAGTTTTCATTTAAATTTTAGTTTAACTTTTAGTAATTTTGTTATGTGCTTTTCGTTTTTCTATTTCCATTTTTCTTATTTAATTTTTAATTTAATATTTCTATTTAGCTGTATTTTTTATTTCAGTTTTAGTTTTAGTAATGTTAGTACTTTAACTGAAACATATTTCAGTTTGTTGCAAAGATAACATTTATCATTTTCGCTTTTCACTTTTCAGTTTTTCATCTAAAATTTTATAATTGAATAAAATATTTTATTTAATTTTAGCTTCATTTCAATCGCCAAAGACTTTTTATTAACAAAAACAACACAGCCCCTGAGGTATTTAGCATTGTATTTGTAACATGGTTTTAAAAAGAAATGCTTTTTAGGTCATAATCCTCATATTTTACTGTCTGGTCAAATCAGTAAAATATGTTTCGGCCACTGGAACAGCCTTGATAGTGAATCAATGCCCACCATACCTGTGTTTGATTAATCAGCCTGTTGACTGTATCCATAACGACTTATTCCTGTTTTATCTTTTTACATGCTTTCTTTGTTCCTCTGATTTGTTGGCGATAAACCCATCCAATCCAAAACAAACAAAAAATGCACTATGAAACTCTCATATCTTCCATCTCATATGTACCCATCCAAACCCCTCACACACTCACTGTACATGTATGCATCCATCTACTGCAACAACACATAGAATCCGGTTGGTTTGTAATTTATTCTCCGCTTCTATTGCATCCATTACCCAAAATTCCTCGCTCTTCCTTCCCTTCCTTCCTCAAAGCATGTGCTTCCAGTATAATGACCCCCAACCCCAAAGATGCTTGACAGTTGGACAGCTGCTCACATTAATGCTCATACACTCTATTAGCTATAAAAAAAAAAGCTCAAACAAAATAGGACTGGGTGGTATGATGGTTAAAATATGTCAGTATTTATATCGTGATACATTTATCCACACAGCTATTGTTTTTACAGAACTCTAAATAACTCTTTTGTGATTATATGTACTATTACCATAATGATGTAAAATTACTCATAAAATCGTTTGGTCATACTGTCCACCCTAATAAAAAATACATATATATTTACATTTATATATATATTACATGTATATTTAACCATATATGGGCAAATATCTTATAAATTAAACCAACTTTACTGACAAGTTGATTTACCTAAATGTATTTATAAGAGGTTAAAGACAGTTCATGACTCTTGCTCTTATTGTTTTTGCATAAAAATGCCTTTACACTTGCACAGTTAGTCACAGTCGTTGCCATATCATCACTGAATGCCATGCACTTTAGAAAAAGCTGCATGATGACTTTTCTTTCATTACCTTATTTCTTCCCTCCTTTTCTCGAGTCATCCGCCTGTTCTGCTCTACTGTAGTTCCTCCTCTGCATCTCACTCATTGAAATATGTGTATGCTGGAATGGGTGATTGATCCTCAATAACCTGTCCACACAGTTGAGACTTATTATTTATTGTACCAAGTCTAAACGCAACATTTTGCTGACTGATTATATCAAATGTACTTAACTCTTTCCCTGCCACCGTTTTTAAAGTTGCCAGCCACCGCCAGCGTTTTTGATCATTTTCACAAAAATGTCATGGCCCCCAGAATATTTGTTTGTATGAATATCTGAACATGCAGTATATCAAAATAAGGAACTGACCCTTTGCTTAAAAAAAATGTATCCTAGCTTTTTATCAACACTTGAATGTGGGTAAGTGTCATTAAAAAAAGCAACATTTTGAGCAAAAAGCTAAGAAAATCATATTTTTGTCAAAGACTACATCCAGATCTGATTCAGAACGATAATCAAAACATCGCTGGAGTAGATCGAGTCCATCAACACCCCTAATGCTTGCACATTCCTCTAGCTCGTCCTGGGTCAACATTTCATTCAGTAATATTGGGCAGTACTGATTTATAGGCTGTTTAATTTTGGTGATCGGATTATTTTACATATGTATATGATTACATATGAGATTGCTTGTTTCTGCATCTCCTTCAAGTGTGTTTTGATCAGGAGATTCAGTACTCTTTCAAAAGAGCACCTCTTTCAATAGCACCCCCTACCATATAACAGTGAAAACACGGAAAGCCTGTCAATGGCGTTTTCTCACAAATTACGGAAATTTCCGTCAGTGGCGGGGAAAGTGTTAAAATACCACATTGAAAATGTGAATTTTTAAGTACTTCTAAAATGCCATTAAAAGACAATTGGCATGACCTTTGTGTGTGGATTGGACCATTGAGAATTACATGACCAACGCAGCTAATCCCCATTGGCTAATGTTGTTGGTATTCTATTCCTTATGCCTGAACTTGCTAAAGCCTAAATAATACGGTGCATCGGGCTGCTTCCATACTCTGACTTGCCTGTCTCAACAGATCAGTGCATTTGATTAAAAAAAGTTTACGCTTTAATATATGATTGGATGATGACTGTTACAGTTTAGTGATTGTTTTTTTAGCCCCTACTGAATTAATTTGGTAATTTTGTAGTGATCTTTTTTTCTTTTTCTTTTTCTTTTTTTTTTTGTCAATCCCATTTTAAGTTTATTTTATACATTACTTTATGTATATTTATATGCAAAATTTTTGTATAACTTATTGATTACTTTAACCCACTCTTTCCTTCTAAATTATAAAAAAATTTATTTGACTAAAAACTGATTTGTTATCATTAAGTAAACTGATTGTAATTTTCTTCTTCACTTTACCCCACATCTCTCTACTATATCTTCTGTCTGTCTCTTTTGCATTCTCCATTTTCTTCTGGAACATTCTTTCTACATTCGTCTCAATCTAATCTCCCCAGAATAACTTCATAAACCTGAGTTTTCTGAGACTCTTCCGAGCAGCACGTCTCATTAAGCTCTTGAGGCAGGGCGAGACCATTCGCATTCTGCTTTGGACCTTCGTTCAGTCATTTAAGGTACGAAAACATCCACACCAATTCTCATGCACAGACAAAATCCAATGTGACTTAGAAACAAGATTTAAGATATATGCAAACATTTTTCACACCAAAACCTTTACAAAAATTTCATGCACTCTTAAGTCCCACCTTTCAGTTAAAAAAAGAGAGACTTTTATAAGCATAACCAACTGACCTGCCTTAAAGGGATTTAGAGTGAATTAATTCTTTGAAATTATTTATTTTTAATATTATAATTCATTGTTTGGCATCTGAACATTTTACAAATTGAGCTTATTTATTGATTTGAACATTTAAAAAAAAAAAAATCTAGTGCATAATTTCATGCAATATCGTAGAGAGGCAGTGTATTGATTGTAGAGATGTAATACTTCTTTATAAATTCTTGTGGTCTTGTAGCTAATAAATAAAAGCATAGTGACAAATACACTCAACCTATTTTACAGTTTGCCAACCATCAAAATTCTGTCTTATTTCTTCCACCTTTCATGCTGTTTTTGTCTTTTTACAGGCTTTGCCATATGTGTGTCTGCTCATTGCAATTCTGTTCTTCATCTATGCCATCATTGGCATGCAGGTAACAGCTGTCCTATTTAAAATGAGCTTTAACATCACTGTGAGTTTTTATAGAACTAAATCAAGACAAAATAAAACTTAAATATACCATCTATCAACACATATAAATGGCATTTGGTTGCTGGGATATCACAACTGTGAATGTCGTGATGTGTGCATAAGTTTTATATCTGCTCTGTGATGCTTTAGTTGTTTGGGAACTTGGATATTACAGAAGAGGAAGACAGTGCGATCAACGAACACAACAACTTCAGAACCTTCATCATGGCCCTAATGCTCCTCTTCAGGTCCATCCTGTGTCTTTACTGGTGTTATTTTAGTATTGCTATTATTTATGTTTTGAATTAGCTTGTTGTTGTTTTTTTATTTTTATTATTATTAATATTTTAAATATTTTATTATTATTATTTTAGCATTAAGTTATAGTGTTTTTGTCAGGTGCGAATCTAAATTTCTATTTAGATTTAATTTATTTTTATTTGAGTCATTTTAGTACTTCCAATTAAACCTTTCTATTTTGTTTTTAGGAGCAAGATTTGAAATATTTGCACAAAAAAAATTCCCACCAAAACCTGCTTTTTGTCATTTTATTTTTGTAATATTTCTGTTTAGCTTTAATTTGTTTTTATTTCAGTTTTTTTATTTGAAGTTAGAACTTTTTTTTAAGGTTTTCTAAGTATAAGTTTTTCCTACTAATATTATATATAATCTATTTTTTGTCAGTTAACAAAAACTTTTTTTAATATCATGTATGTGTGTGTTTTTGGTAACAGGAGTGCCACTGGCGAGGCATGGCATGATATCATGCTGGCATGTCTCGGAGGAAAGAAGTGTGATGAGAAATCTGGGAACGAAGGGCCAGAGTGCGGCAGCAACTTTGCCTATGCATACTTTGTTTCTTTCATCTTCCTCTGTTCTTTCCTGGTGAGAACAACCTCCACTTGTTTCTTTACTCCTTCTTTTTTTCAATTTACCTTAAAGGGATACTTCACCTCTGGGAAGATGAATGTGTATTTAATATTGGTCATTTATATAGTAGAAATGTGAAATTATTTTTGAAATTGAAGCATTCACTGAGAAAAGGCAGAAAATATATTTTTTACTCATGTGGCTGAAAGACAACAACTCCCAGAATGCTCTTGCTTTGCTGCCCTTACGAGGCCACTCCCAAACCACACCTACCGGTTACAGGCGGCAGAATCCGAAAAATGGATACAGCTAGGCTTGCTTTGATACATCGTGAGTTATTTGATAAATTTGCATCGAAATGGTGCTAAATTGCGTTGTACCGGGATGTACTAGCCTAATGTATGTAACACAACTTAGACTTTCACATTAAAAATATGATGCAAGGCAGGACCATGTCAACAGAGTAGCTTAGTAGCTCTGCATATGAACTGTTTTCCTCCAATTGAAATCACTATTTCTCTAAGCTAATACATTATCTAGGCTAATCCATACTCTAGTAACACTAAAGGTTTATAAAAAGAACCACAACCAATGTGAGTTATAACTTTTAATTAAAAAATTACGAATATTAATACTTTTACACTCAAAGCTCTGGGGATTCAGTGATCTCGTCCAGAAGAAAATGGCATTGCTGAGATTCGCGACATCAATAGGACTCTATATCTGTTTCCATTAGGGGTGTAACGATATTTGAACCGAACCGAAAAACCGCGATACACCACCCACGATACGTATCGCGATACTCTCACGGCGAACCGAACACGCCCCGCCCCCTGCTGCCCCGCTCCAGCCCCGCTCCAGCCCCGGCTTATTGCACCTCATGTGTTATGTGTACACAACGAATACAGGGCTGTTGCCTAACCACCATTAACCACATATAATTGCAATAAGCTCAGTGTTTTGTTACTTTTGATAATAAGCAAGGTGTAATCTTTCAAATTATGTCTATTTGATCACGAAATGCAAACAAAAAAATGCCGTTTTGGCGCTCTTAGATGTGGCGTGACAGATATCACTGTATGCATGCGGCAGCGCGGAGCGCGATCATCTCTTCCTCAGTTACAGAATAAACATGAATGGACACCCGAAGATATGTTGAAAGATACAGTATACTTACTGAAAGGCATCATAACTCGTGTAAACACTCAATCAGTGTTTCAACAGCGGAAATACGTCAATAAAACGCTTAGTTTTTCACATAGCTTTATATTTACCTCAGGCAAGTCATTCAGTGTCCACAGCTTGCTGGTTTGCTAACTCTTTCACTAAATAAATGCTATATATTAGCCTATATATTATATTTTACTTAACCTGTTTATGATATCTTGATTATTTAATGTATGTTTAAAATAGTTGTCATGAAAATAACAGCAACTGTGTAAAATTATTATAACATTAACAAATTAGAGTAAAAACATGTTAATGCAAAAATTGCCTTATGTGTAGTTTACATGTTTTCATACAATTTGTTATTTGAGTGTTGATTATTATTATATCATTTAGGCTAAAAGTCTAGGCTCTGTTGTTAAGCTTTAATGTTATAGTAATGTGCAAGTAAGGGCTGTAGTTTACAGCATTAGCAGATAATTTTGTTATCCTTGAGAAACGTTTACTTGTAATGGAATTAATTTAAAGACAAGGACACAATTTGTTCATTAAAGCACTGTTTAATAAAATATAAAAGCAATTTTAGCTTTCTAAACCCCCCCACCCCACCGAAATGAACCGAACCGAACCGAACCGAGACCTCAAAACCGTGGGATGAACCGAACCGTCAGGTTTGTGTATCGTTACACCCCTAGTTTCCATAGGCGCACAGCGAGAGCACTGACACCGCCAGTCCGCCCCAGCTCGAGTCTGGTCGGGCTCAGGTCTCGCTCCGGCCGCCTCTTGTTCCTCCATCTCCCGCAACTGTTTATCACTGTATTGCGGCTCGTACAGGTAGCCGCGAGCATCAGATTCTCGCAACAGATCTTCGAAATCCCCTTCTGCCATTTCAACTTCAAAACTACCTTCCGCTATCGTGATTAGCCTACTATACAAACTTTCTACACAGACCAAGAGGCAAGAGCCTGTTAGCTTAGCTTCTACAGAAAGATGGCTGACACTATCTTTACATTCTGTGAGTGAGATCCCGCCCCATATGGGCGTGAACACTGGCTTTAGCCTCTGGCACAAAAATCCTCCGATGACGCAAAATGACGATTTTTGCGTCATCGGAGGATTTTTTCCAGACTAAAAATTAATTTTTCTCTCATATGAGGGGGATATGGGGGGGGGAGCGCGGTAATTCGAAAATACTACTGGTTTTCTACTGATACAAAGCTTAATGCTAAATCCTGGAGTATCCCTTTAAAGGGTCATGAACTAAGAATTACAATTTTCCTTGATCTTTTGACAGTTAAGAGGTCGTTATACTATAAAAATATCCTGTAAATTTAAAAACTTGATTGTTATTCCAAAACCAGCTTATTGAAACTAAGGCCAGAAAAAGACAAGATCTGAAAAGTGTGGAATTATGACGTCATAGTGCCGTGAAAGACCGCCTTTGCCGAAGAAGACCCACACCTTTTATTTTAAAGTTACCTTTTTAGCCCCGCCCACCGAATCGCTTATGCCATGTAGTAGGTAAATAACACAGAGACGCTAACGCTAGGTTACTAGAGCTAACAAGCGATAAAGATGGCTTCGGGGACGGCAAGACGTTGTGCAGTGCCAGGTTGTGGAAAAACTCAGTCGTTGCATTTCCTTCCTTCAGATCCCAACGTAAGGATTGCGTAGTTGAAGTTTATATTTAATACAGTTCCAAATCGAGTTAGTAAGCAGCTGTCCATTTGTTCGCTACATTTTACTTTCGGATTCCTTTGTAAACAAGGCACAGTTCAATGCAGGATTTGCTGAGAGACTGAAATTTAAAAATTCTGTATTGGATCTGACAGGAACAGCTCAACACACAAAAATGTTTTGTTTATCCTGTCTTACTATTGCTTTGTTATAGATCATTTGATATGTACTTAATATGTGTACGTGTTTAATCAAAATTAAAACAGCGTCCATTGCTGAAGGATAAAGTCTGCGAAAAAACGCAGATTTTCACATCGGTGGGCACTCAGCTGTCCTTTCAAGCTTTGGGACCTAATTGGTTTAATCTATTTTTACATATGCAACACTATTACCCAATAATAGCAGTGGGCAGTTACTTCCAAGTCTTCCATGCGGCACACCCAGTGTTTCAGGATCGAGGCTCAAAAACAGGGTAGAAAATAGCCTATTACTTACTAATTATGGTGTTTTTTTTAGGTAAAAACCTTTCTAACACTATTAGTGGACCACAGAAAACAGTACAAAATAATATTAAAAGGCAGTTCATGACTCCTTTAATCACATTTTTTAACATTTGACTTTTTCTCTCAGAGATGCATCCGTTTTTTATTTTTCGCTTCAAAACAGTAAATAGTTGATTCAGGATGTTTTTGGGGCGGTCTGTTTATGTGTTTAGATGCTGAATCTCTTCGTTGCTGTCATCATGGATAACTTTGAGTACTTGACCAGGGACTCCTCCATCCTGGGTCCACATCATTTGGATGAGTATGTCAGGATATGGGCAGAGTACGACCCAGCAGCCTGGTGAGTTGCACGCACAACTTTTTATCTCACACACACTTTCTAACAAAAACACAATTTTAAAGATGCTCACATTCTTTTAGGGCCCGTTTACACCTGATCACTTCATGCGTTTTTACTGATCGGATAGCTATCTGATTTAACAAAATGATTCCATTTACACTAAATGTGTTTTCGCAAAATGGATATAAATCTGATCTCCAATTTCCGCGCTATAAGCAGATTTAATGGAGTTCATGTCACAAAAAGCAACAGATATGAGCTGCATTTTATTGATCATCAGCTAATTTCAAAATCAAAGACCGCAATAGGAGAGACAGCGACATCAGCACTGATAAGATCAATTAGTTTCTTTACTTTTAATGAAGATGATTGTGTGTTGAGCGTCTGCCACTCACTTTCAGTTTTATTTGTAGTAGTTTGCGCGTTGGCTTGATAAAGAGATACTCCGCCCATCTGCGGCGATGCGTGTTGCCGTAGCGCCGTCACATCAGGCTATAACATGTCATATAGCCAATAACACGCTCTCACACGTTTATTTTTAGCATTGTTTGGAGGAGTAAAATGTACATGTGATTTCAACAACCAGATGCATTTACATTTGTTCAGTTTCATCTGGAATGCGGCTCAGACCACCTCCTGATGTGGTTTGAGCGATCGGATTTAAATCCGTCTCGAATACATTTCGGAGGGCATTTACACCTGGGGCTCTATCTTGCACCCGGCGCAAATGACTTTGTACACTGACGCATGTATCATTCCTATTTTGCACCCGCGCAAAGCGGACTTTTCCCTCCACAGACGCACGTCGGTTAACTAAGAAATACACTTGCGCTCCCCGGGGCGGTTCAGCGCAAAGAGGAGGCGTGTTCCGGCGCAAACTTTCCCTCATGCTATTTTGCTGTTCTATAAAACAATTGCGCCACTGACCAGAAAAAAACTAGTCTAAAGTCAGTGGCGCGTTGCGCGTTGTTCATTATGCTATTTTAAGCGCGCATGCTTGGCCATAATGTAGCGGGTGCACAACGCGCATACACTTTGATTCTCTCATCAACACAGATGCAGCAGTTTTTATTTTTGCAAATCATACATTATAACAAGGAAAAATATTAACACATGAGGGAAATCATTGTGGTGTCCATGAAAATTTAGTTTTTTTCCTCCCACGCCTGTTTAACCGACGCTGATTTGTATGGGGATGGGAGAAACCCACCCACGATAGATAGATAGATAGATAGATAGATAGATAGATAGATAGATAGATAGATAGATAGATAGATAGATAGATAGATAGATAGATAGATAGATAGATAGATAGATAGATAGATAGATAGATAGATAGATAGATAGATAGATAGAGAGATAAATAGATAGATAAGTCTGATTTGAACATGGAATTTCTTGTTATTTCTGCATGCATTCTACTTCAGACAGTCAATAAACAGTGCCGTCTGAGGGTGTAACTGCATGAGGGTTTATGCCATAGTTTACAGGTGCACGCAAAACACGCAATACAACGTCACTTCTCTGTCTTTCACGGTCCTGACAAGAACGTTGCTCTCCTCGGCTGTGAACCGCTCCTGACGCGCGCCTGGTTAATCCGCCGTTATAATAGCAATCCGCCATGCAACATGCGCACCTGCTCTTAAAGGGAATGTGAGATGACGCTCTGATTGGTTTATTCCACGTTACGCCCAAACCACACCTATGAATAATGAAGCTACTTCAGACCAACCTCTTTTAGATTTGCGCCAGGCGCAAGAGGCATTTATCCCGCCGGGAAAATAGCAACAGCGCCGGGATCCGCCCACAAAGTTACTTGCGCTTTGCGCTTAGACACTTGCGTTTCAGATCGTTAAAATAGGGCCCCTGGTCTTTTCGCAATCGGATAGCCATCCGATCACAGAAAACGCATGAAGTGACCAGGTGTAAACACACGTGCAAGCATTGATTTTTCCTTTAAATTGTATAATGTAAATCCTAAATCAATTGCAACACCTAATAACAACAATTTTTAAAAACATGCTTACTGCAAGCTAACAAACACTGTAACATTCTAAATATTATTTTATCACAGATATGTGCACACAAACTAACTTAAAAACTAACCATTCTTCTCCATAGCTCTTGCATCTTTTGTTACTGAAAACATCCCCAAAATGTCCCAAAACACTGTCCATGGTCACTCAAGATAAAGCCCTGTCACAAATAGTGGATCTCAATCTCTCAAAATGCCCCAATGTTTGTCTTTAAATCCCTCCTAGGGCTGATGTGACTGCAAACTGCAGTCTGGTTTCTTGTCACATATGTAGATGAGCCCAATTGTACCAACTGCACAAACTCTGTCTGCCCAGTCAGTAGTGTCTCCCACTTCCCCCCGTCCCAGTGCTTGCCTCATTCTCAAGTGCTGTTCTGCAGGAGCGCATGGAGATGGTCTGAAGAAGCTCAAGAATAAAAATAAAAATAATGCGTATAAGAACTACAGCAAGAATCAGAGGAAGTAATTTAAAAGAATATAAGCGAGAGAGAGAGAGAGTTGAACGTAAGACCCTGTGCATGGCAGATTCTGACTTCACAATGACTTAATTCTCCCATCTTTATGGCTCAGGTGTGCATGGCAAACATCTTCACAGACAAGCTGTCGCAGCTTATTTCTGTACTTGCCACTGCATACAAACGTTAACAAAATACACCTCATGTATTTTGCCTGTAAAGCCCACGTAGCTGTCACTGTATGCAGTTCAATTAAGTCATTGGACTCGTAAAGATGAGAGAGCCTCTCATGTGCACGGTCATATCGGTGGATTCGTTTACTCCGCACCGTGATAGGGGGAGGATTCAGAACAGCACTAAAGATCATTCAAGGACAGCTGTACCAATTTTTTGTTGTTGTTGTTTTTCTCTGGTGATTTCACTCACATGCATATAGCTGGGGTTTATTGCACTGGATTTTGACATGCATTGAAATCTCGGCTACAGTAACCCTCACATGCATGTTTAAATTTATCCAAGACAATGGCCCCTTTTCACATTTCCAGGTTTTTATTACGGAAGTAAACTATAGCATGAGAACTGTCTTAAGAGGTAAATGGGCATTTATTTATAATGGCTGTAGCATGCTTCTATGCATTTATTTATTTAGTTTATAATATTTTTAATATTTGGTTTGAATTATTTGCACCCTTGGTAAATATGTTCAAAGAAGGCTGTGATAATAAATCTACATTGTTTATCCTTTTGATCTTTCATCAAAACTATCACAAAAATCTAACCTTGCTGATTTTGCTAATTTTTCTAACAAATCTATTATTGCTAGGTTTTAATTAGTGTGGAAATTCATCATCACAGTCTTGTGAAAAGTGTCCATTCCAGGAAGATTACAGTCTTTCGTATGACCTGAACATGTTTGTTATAGCTTAAAATCGGTTGGGCTGTCCTTCGAATGATCTGGTTTTCTCTTGGTTTGAGGCAGTGGAACAACTTCACTGGGTTTGGTCTGTGATTTGTCAATGGATATGTGTGCTTTTATTCTCTTGTTCTTTGTGCTCCTCTTCTTGTTTCACTATTTTTTCTTCTTCCTCTCCATCTCCTCTTTGGCTCTCTGGCTCTCTTTTTTTCTCTCTTTTCCTGTGTTTGCCCCCTCTCTAACCTCCCTGTATTCTTCTTGCAGCGGGCGCATTCATTATAAGGATATGTACAGTTTATTGCGGGTTATCGACCCCCCGCTGGGCTTAGGCAAGAAATGTCCTCATAGGGTGGCCTGCAAGGTTTGGATCCTACTAAACAAAAAACTTAAGCACCTGCTCGCATTGAAGACTGGAATGAATGTTGCTTTTCTTTTTTCTTTTTCTTTTTTCTTTTTTCAGTTTCTTTTGTTTACTCTTCTCCACAGTTTTTCTTCTTTTACTTGAAATTCATTTTTGTTATTTTATTTGCCATCTCTGTATGCATTCTGATATGACAAATGAGAATGTGCAGGACAATGCAGACACCTTTTTAGAAGCATGATATGCACTGCCATCGACAGCCAAGTCTGTACGAACCTCTCTGTGGAATAAATCACTCTTAACAGCCAAAAAAAAAAAAACACAATCGAACGAATCAGTCATTTTGTTATTTTCTTTTCTTTCTGCTTGCTGTTGAACCATGCCTTGGCAAACTGGGTGTAACAGTGTGCATTGTTCTTGTTTGGGGACGAAGTGAGGGTTGGGGATCAGAGGACTGCATTGACGTGACTGCCATAGTTCACCACCAAGCAGCGGAGCTTTTCTTTGCCTGTTTGAAGCCCCACTGCAGTTCTATGGGACCGTCCTACGATCGCATAGAACAGTGTTTTTACTAGGACTAAAAACCAGCTTCCCCTCCTCCTGTTTAACCTCCAGCCAATCAAGAGCTCTCACGCTCTCAAAACCCCGCCCCTCGCCCAGACCAAAAAAATAACCTATGTGTCTTTGTTTTTCCTTCTTGCCGTTCTTATTTCCTCCTCCTTTCTCCTTTTTTGGTTTAAATCCCACCATCCTCCGGTTTGTCCCCCTCCATTGTTTCTCTTCTTGTCCATTGTTTTATTCGTCCTTCGTTGTCCTCCTATTTTACCCCCCCGTTCTCCTCGTTTCATTTTTGGGGGTCTCACCCCTCCCCTCCCACCCCACTCCCCCTTACAGCGGCAGGATCAGTTACACTGATATGTATGAGATGCTCAGGCACATGTGTCCTCCGCTAGGCCTGGGAAAGAGGTGCCCGGCTCGGGTCGCCTACAAGGTTAGCGGCAGCAGCCCGCCGTGGGTGCGCCACAGCCAATCAAAGCTGTCCGTTTTTTTTCTGTTAGTGTTGGTGTTGGTGAGCTGCTGTATCTTTCTTTTTACATTGTGGGGTACCGGTGAAAGTGTTAGCCAGCTGACACACACACACACACACGTACGCACACATCCACTGGAGAGCGGGAACGGAGGGTACCTTGCCAGCCCTTCTGCACCGTACTCAAATACTCACTCACTCACATGCAGATGCAAATGATTTTGTTGCAAGACAGCAACTGTTAACTTTTTTTTGCTGTCTTATAGTTAGAGATGATGCGTTTATTAATTTTTAGACATTTGTTAAAATCAACATGAAATCAAAATAGACCCTATTTAGTTTCTTAATGCACTTACCAGGTCTTATTCATTGGTGCAGTATTATTCCGAACCCCAAAAAGTTTTTCTTCATAATCTTTCATCAAAAGTGAATTAGTAGTTCCTCCTCTGCAACAACTCAAATGAATTCCTAGTGAATAAAATCAAGTCGCCTACAACTTTTGTTCTCTTGGAATATCCAGTTTCACTCATGAACATCATATTGCAGAAGTAAAATGGATTTCGAATGCCGTTTCATGTTGACTTTAACTTGAAAACAAGGAATCTTGTATTATTTTCGCATTATGTTTTCCATGTTCATTGCAGAAATAGAGCCTGTGTTAAACTTTAGATACAAATATGAAGCATATAGACAGAAATATACATGTTTCACTGTGTGCGTGTACAGAAGGACTGGGAAGGATTGTGTGCCTTTGGTCCTCTGCGTCTCTCCCTCCAGTGGATGATTCCTAAAGTCTACAGATGTCCAGTATATTTTCCATGAGTTCGGCAGATGACACTTCCGTAGGTTCAGCTAGTGCGATCACACAGCTTTTAGGAGTCTTTAGAGCCACTTTATCCTTTTGATTTTTTTCAGCAAATCCACTAGAATCACAGATAAGCTTTCCCACCTGTCCTTCGTTTGATTCTGTCAATGCAGTTCTGACCTGTTTCCGTTCCCCTCTCTCTTTCTGTCTTACTGTCTCTCACTCTATCTTTTCTTTCCCCCCACATTCCTCCAATTTGCATTTTCAGCCACTACATCTCTGCATCCTTCTCCTTTCTTTCTCTTGCTCTCTCTTTCTCTCTCTCTCTCTCTCTCTCTCTCTCTCTCTCTCTCTCTCTCTCTCTCTCTCTCTCTCTCTCTCTCTCTCTCTCTCTCTCTCTCTCTCTTTTACATCCTGTCTCCTTCTCCCTCTCTCATTTCTTCACTTTAGTCAGCATGCTTCTTAATTATGCAAATAGTAATAATCTGAATGCATCCTTATCTGACAGTTACATCCAGCCATTTTACATGTCATTACATGTTCATTATAGGTCATGGACCTTAGTCAGATTAGATGATGGTGTGTTTAGTTTGAGGTGAATGAAACCAGAGCCATGTTGTTAGTTTTTTGTTTTCATACAAAATATTATTTGTCTGTCGTTTTGCAGGTGGAGACTGTAATTAATGTCCCATGATGTATATCTGTGTACTGTAGTCTCTTTTAAATACAATTCATGCTTATACTGTGTACAAAACAATGATTTGTTCTTACACCATTCACTATTTTCTGCATAGTGAATGTCATGTACACTACTGTTCAAAAGTTTGAGGTTGGTAAGATTTTCTCTTATATGCACCAAGGCTGCATTTATTTGATCAAAAATATAATAAGAGTATATATATTGTGAGATATTATTACGATTCAAAATAGCTGTTTTTTATTTTGATATTTTAAAATATGATTTTCCAGTCTTCAGTGTCACATGATCCAGAAATCATTCAAATCATTTTTGATATAATACTGTATATATTTATACAGTAAATATGTACATATAAATTCTTCTTTAGAAAAAGCGAAACTTTTGAACGGAGGGGTTTTTGAGGACAGAGTGAGCAAAAATTAGTGTATTTTGAAAATATTACAGAAAATGCACATATTTCTGAGGAAAAAACGACTTGATTTCTCATGTGACCATTCATTAAGAGATTGGAAACATCATATTTCATGCGTTTTCTTACTGTTCACACTACAAATATTTTTGCAAGTAATAGTTTTCTGGAGTTTTTTGTCCACTGCATGTTTCATCAGCTGTACACAGCGATATGGTTGTACTTGGACAGACAGTACTTCCACTTTTATAATTTACGTCTAATTACAACTGGCGTCTACACTGACTAAGATCCACTGAACGGACTTCCTCTATGCCAGCATGGACAATTTTAATGTGGTAGACATTTTGTGAAGTGCAATTTAATTACAAGCTCTCAAAGCTTTACTGAGGCTCCCTTCACTCCTACCTCTTCCTCTCACTTTCCTCACTCTCTGATTTCCCCTCATCTCAAACAAACAACACCTCTTTTTTTGCTCTCTTTCTCCTCTCAGACTTTCTCTCTATCCATTGCCAAGCACACCACTCCCCCCCTTCTCATTATTTTTATATGTGGTGCATATCTCATAGCTTTCCAGTCTGAAGTGAACTAACCTCTATACCTGTTGCCCCTAATCCAGTCCTACACCTCTCGGTGTACAACACAGCCATTTTTCCTCTTTAATTCTGTAGGGAATGCCACCCTTTATCTGACCTTAAAAAAAAACTGCACCCGTTTTGCATCGAGAGATCAGAAGAAAAAAAAAAACATAATGCAAAATATCACTTAACCCTATGAGAAATCACCCAATGAAAGATGCTAAACTAACCCAAAAATACAAGTGGTCAATAAAAGATGAAATGATACTCTCTCTGCGCGGCTGCACTGCTCTTGTTCTGTGAGGGATGGGGAGGGAGGAGGGGGGGTGCATGCACTGCATGCTGCATGAAGTAGGGGTTGATGTTCGGGTGGGCCGGGACCGTTGGGGAGGGCGGGTCGCCACTAAACTCCTATTTGGGGTCCTGCTGCATTGCATGCGCTTCTGCATGACCACCACTGGAACCCGGCTCGTGCTCGTTGGTATTTACACCTCCAAGGAACAACGGACTGGTCTGAAATGGGCACACGCGTATACACGGGCTCACACATGCTCACTTTCTCACACTAATGCCATGTGGTGCGCTTGTGTGTTCCAATTCCATGAAGGTACATCCAATGCATGGAAATAGGCATCTAAAAACTGCTGTTTTTAGGTGCCTTTTCATTCATTGGTTTGTCCAAAATATACAACCTCCAACAGGTAGGGGGAGCTCTTTAGCAGTAGTCTTTTGAAATAAATGTCAAATTTAGCTGATATTTGTTTCCTCAGCCTTTGCCAGCTGATTCAGGGTCAGTAACTTACTGTTAATTGCACTAAAAAAAAGTACTTTAAAATGTATACATTTGCATTAGATACAGTATATCAAACCAAGTGGCATTCGCAAACAAGAGATGCTTATGTGAGTGATATTTATGCCTGATCTGAGATCAGTTTTCACTGGCAGAGGAACACTGAGGAACTACATCCTGTGTGATACTGCTCCTGTTATCTGTGAGGGCTCCAATTAAGTTACTTAATTGATGTGTATGTATTGTATATGTTCTATAAGATGTGTGAATGGTTCATTCACACATTACAAGGTTGCAGGATGTGTATTGGTCAATCATTTGTCAGTCTAAGAAAACTGCTCTCACAGATGTCAACGAAATCTCCCTTTATTGTGTGGTTGTATGAGTATCACCTGAAAATTAATTGCATGATGCATGGTTTGTACACAACCACTGCATCAAAAGAAAGTCAAAACTACAATCAAATGATCTGTTTAACAGCTTAATTGCTGAAATTTGTGTGGCTAGAAGTTTATTTTTTGGCTACAGACTGCTGAGCTCCCCACGCCTTTTATTAGTCCACCAAAGCATCTGACTGGAGGTTTAACTTACACAGCCCCGCCCTCATCCCCTCTGATTGGCTCTCCACAGAGACTGCTACGTATGGACCTCCCTGTTGCTGATGATAACACGGTGCATTTCAACTCTACTCTGATGGCTTTGATACGCACAGCTCTGGACATCAAAATCGCCAAGGGTACAGAACGACATCCCTCTTTCTTGTATACTGTATTTTATTAACTTTTTTATTCTATCTTTACACAAATTTAAGCCGATTTGAGTCAGATATGAACTTTCTTTTTTTCTTTCTTTTGAAAAACATTCCAAGTATGACAAATATTAACCAAAACAACATGTCCTGTGTGTTTGTGTGTGTATCTTCTGAATGAATGGGATTATAATTTTGTTTTTGTGATGTTTGTGCTTTTGGTGTATTTGCATATTTTGTTTATCTATACGTATGTGTTTGCTTACGTGTGTATGTACACTGCCCTGACATCACACACTTTCAGGAGGCGCGGACAAACACCAGATGGACGCGGAGCTCCGTAAGGAAATGATGGCGATTTGGCCAAATCTCTCCCAGAAGAACCTGGATCTGCTGGTAACGCCACACAAGTGTAAGTTGCAGATGGGTTTGTAGAGTAAAACAACTAATCAAATATCACAAATTCATCAGAGGACAGCTTCTCTCAGCCCACACCGCTCAGCACCCTCTGATCAGGCAACAATCTCACAATCTTTCTCCCGTTCCCACATGACAAACCAATATCTTGCACTGTTAATTAGATCAGGAATACCATGCTTTTCCATATTATTTCTATTTAAAACCATCCTGCTTCCTAGCTAGATTTATTGCTCATAAAGATTTTTTTTTTTTCACATCAGATATTCAGTGTGACTCAAGTAGTTTGTTTAGAATAGTATACATCCATTTCACTATCCAAATTTAGGCCTTCTATGGTCATCCCACTTCTACATAACATATCCTCTCCTTCCCCAACCTCTTTCTTTTTCTCCCTCTTCCTTTCTCCTATCTTCTGTCTTCATTGCCTGTTATCAGGGGGTGCCTCGCTATAGACGGATCCTCTATAGAAGTCTTTTCACTCCAGCACGTGTAAAGCACAAAGCTGGGCTAAACCTCCAAATCACAGAGCCTCATAAACTAGCCCGAGTTAGTACCTCATATCTAATGCTGTTAAAAGATGTTAGGTACTTTAGAGTTTGATATGATGACCAGAATATATGAAAATCTGTTTGTATAGTCTATGGAAAGTACAAGTTGCCTGGAAATGCTTTTGAATGCTTTCTTTTGGCATGTTTTCTTTTGAAAATTTTAGCATGTTTTAAATTTATTTCTATTTTTTATTGTCAATCCTTTGGGTGTTTCATGCCTTTTTACTATGAAACTGTCCTAACAAGAAATTGTTTGAGGTGAAGGGATTGCTTTATTTGTCATTTGTGGCAGCTCAAATTTTTTCAAATTTATATGTTATATGTCTCATTCAAACTCGGGATGCCACTGCAGAGTTTTGATGAAAAATTTGAGCAGCTTGCAAAATATTGTACTCTTAAGGTACTGTTATTTTTGCCTCATTCATGGCATCTATTCATAGTAAAATGGCTCTTGAGTCCCTGTAGGAACGTAATACAGCCTAGAAATGTGAAGCAGTAAAAGGTCCTTGAGTAAAATGAGAGGTTCTTTAATTAATGAGGATCTGACTGTGAAAAGACTATCAGCTCAGTGGCGTTTTGTATTTGTCAGTGTACTTTGTACAGTGAATATTGTGTATAATGTAAATTGTGTATGTGTATACTATATATATATATAAAAATATAAATATACAGTATTTACAGTAGCCCCAGAAAGTATTTGGACTATTAAGCCACACTAAACATGTAAGAAATTCCTTGCATTTGATATCAAAACACCAGGTGGCATTTATTTTGAAGAAATATAGCGCAAAGCATGGTTTTTGAACAAAATATTTCACAAAAAGTATACAAAAATTGGTTTGGAAATTAGTTCTGGGAAAATATCTAGCATCATTTTTTTGCAAATGCCACTTGGTTTGATATTTTGTTGGCAGTGGAGTAATATTCATACATGTTTAACTGTGACTCTAGTGTACTTTTTGGGGCCACTTTATTTGTTTAAGTTTTGTTGTATACCTGTTGTCCAGATTCTCAGACCCAGATTGAGACTCACTCTGGACTCTGAAGAACTTCTATTGGTTCATTTTTGTTGAGGTCGTGGATGAGTTTTGTCTGGGTCTGAGAGACTAGACCTTAGTGTTTGTGGCATGCCTTGTCTCCAACTCCCATTCCCCTCTCGGCTCAGGGTCCCATTCCACCCCGGTCTAATTGTGCAGGTTAACTTTTTCATCCTCTCAGCAGCGACAGACCTGACAGTGGGCAAGATCTACGCCGCCATGATGATAATGGAGTACTACCGGCAGAGCAAGGCCAAAAAGCTGCAGGCGCTTCGTGAGGAGCAGGTACCGCCTCAGACAAACAAACAAATGCCAAGTCTGCTCTGCTTTCTCAACCTTTTGCTACTCTTCTCCCAGCAATTCAATCATGTAGTGTATTAAGCCAAGTTTGCAGTTGATTAGCTTCACTAATTTACATTGCAGAGGAAACTTCCTCACTTTGCTAATCAACATTGGTAACAGCACTTTTTTTTTTTTATTCTAATTCTAAATTTTTAATTTGGCTACCTTCTTACTTATTGGCTATATATGATTTTTTTTAACGTATAAGTTCTAATTTTTAGAAGTGAGCATTGCAGTTTTTATGCACATTTTGGAAATTTTATTTGCATCTTGGTGCTTCCATGCTGCATTTTTATGTGATCTTTAAATATGCATCAAAATACATGGTTGAAAACTGTTCACAGATAGGCAGCTGCCTGCAGTCTCAGACACAGCCGATGCATCCTTCAGACTTCACATATTTTAAGCTGAAATTAGCCATTTTTAGATGTACACATTCCAAAGTTTGGGCTGGTAAGATTTAAAAAAAAATTCTATTAAAAAGAATATGCTCTTATGCTCAACAAAATATAGTAAAAACAGTAATATAGTGAAATGCTATTACAATTTAAAATAACTGTTTTCTATTTTAATATATTTTCTTATAAATTCTTATATATCAGTGTCACACGATCCTTCACAAATCATTCTAATATGCTGATTTTTTTGCTTATAATTATACATTTTGAATACAGTTGTGCTGCTTAAACTTTTTGTGATACATTTTTTCAGGATTCTTGGATCAATAGAAAGTTCAAAAGAACAGTATTTATTTGAAATAAAAAAACTTTTGTAAGATTATAAATGCTTTATATAAAAATATTAATTTCTTTAAAAATCTTGCCAACTCAGTATACACAGTAGTTTATGTCACTTTCCACATGGATTTGACGTTAAGATTTTCATGCAAACTCCCCTAATATTTCAGTGCTTTTATGGCATGCAAACAGTAAAACTGGTTATACAGTAGATCATCTGTATGATTATTTCACATTTTATTTACAGAGTTAGAGCATGCTTAAAAACACATGCAGTAATTTTGCAATGAATATGCAATGATGAATGATACAACATGGCCTTTTGTCAGTGTCACTCCTGCCCCCTGAAATGTCCCCATCCCGAACAGGCACAGTGTCCATTGTTTCTGCCTATCATTGTCCATATAGAAATTGAATTTGTAATACTTGGAGCATGGACACTCTGCTGGCATCAGGGAATGGTCTAGTAAATATATGTTTGTATCCTGCCTCACCTGAATCCCTGTCTGTCTCTTTACCTGTCTGCACTTGTACCTCAGCACCGCCCTCTCAACATCAGCAGCGCGTTTGTGGCTGTCTCACTCTCTATATCCATCCTTGATGTCTCTATATGCCTGTCTGTAAACGTGTTTGTATTTTTTACTGTCTTCCTTCTGTCTAATTCTTTTAAATTCAAAAATTCCTTTTTGTTTCCATACTTTTTGACATTTTGGATCCACTGTCAGTCTCTTGTTCTTTTTTATTGTGTGTAATCTTCTGTTTGTCTCTGTTTTGTCTTGTTTTCCTCCATCCGTTGATCGGTAAGGTTGATTTATCAGTCACTAACATGGAATCTTTTCTCCCTCCGTGTGGACACATTTGTTCAGCCGATATGTTCATTAATGGATGTTGAGGGGAGGTTCTTGGTGTAACCTTTGGGCTACCACGGTCTCTGAGATTTCTAGTGTTCATAGTTTATGTATCATCCACCCAGAACCTGTAGTTCTGTAAGTATGAACCTTAGATCTTCACTGTAGCACGCCCAAACTGTTACTACCACCCATATCTTTTGGTGGGTTAGATGGAAATGCATTGAGCCATCAGCACCTACCTAGACAGCACAGCCCCAATGGGCTACTCCATTCAGGTTGGCGAGGGCACTGGAGGAATCCATTTCCCATGGTGCCCTCTGGGTGACCTCTGCTGTCTGGTACCCCACCACCTGTGTAATGCACGGTGGCTTGTGTGTGTTACCCCATATCCCATAAGTGTGTCTGATCCCAGCTGCAGGCCATGTTCGTATCTTACACAGAACCGAACGCCATTAATGTTTCAGCGCTTGGAGCCATCCCCGAACCAGGAAGGGGGACCGGGGGTGAACGGTCTCCCAGAGTTGCCGCAGGAACCTGTCAATAGCCTGTGAGTAGCATCTTGATTACTCTTTTTATACAAGTCATGTTTTTTAATTAGCTTTTAGCTTAATCTGTATGAGTAAGTCTCATTATATCATATCCAGGTCATATTTTATTCAAAAGCTAAATTAATTATTAAAAGATTATTTATTGATTATTTAAGCCTGTTTTATGTGCTATTTCATTGTGCCATTATTTTTAATGAGAATAAAGCAAAAATTTTCCCCCCAGAATTGCTGTAATGCATTCAGAAGTTTTACTAACAATTTTTAAAATAATGTAAAATTCATTGTAAAAAAAAATATATATATAAAATAAATAATTGTATTGCAGTAAATAAATACTGAAATCAAATTTTTTTATTCATTATTTTTTAAATAAAAAAAACATTTTCTGTAATACAAAATTCTAATTTCAATAAAAGCATAAAATAAATCACAACAATATATACATATATAAAATAAAATATCTATAATATATATATATATATATATATGTTTATTTTATATGCCAAACCTGAAACCACACAATTTTTTATTTCCTCTCATTGCTTTGCATATTTATGCAAAATAAGTTTTTAAAATATTTGTTTTATTTGTATGTAAAGCTTGATGTTATATTTGTAATATTTCTTTATTTTATTTTACATTACTTTTGTATAGACCTGAAATCTGAAATCACTTTTTCCTTAAAAATAGTTTATATTCAAATATTTGTAAAATGAATTTGTTATATAAACCAGAACAACAGCTATATATAAATATAGTAAATTGAAATGCATTTAAATTATTTTTAAATTAAATGTTAAATAGTCATGAAAATAATGTCAAAGTTCTAAAATTATTAATTGTACAAAAATAGACTTTGATTTCTGTATTCAAAATATATTTTTGATTTTTCCTTCTAATTTTGGGGTAAAATATTACTAAAACCTGGCAGGTTTTATGAGATTCACCTGTTTCGACTGGTGCTCTTTGTCTCCTTCTTCACTGCTTAGCTTTGCTTTAATTGTTGTCTTTCTTCTTCTCCTTATAGGCTGCACTTCTGCTCTTTCTTTGTTTTACCTTCTCTCAGCTGTCTTTGTTCACATTACGTTTCAATTCTACGATATACGTCTATCTGCCTTTATGTTAATTCTGCTGTAAATACATATATACATTTGTAATAGTGTTTCTGTACTATTTTTGTCTGCAAAAGGCATTTTGGATGTACAAAATTGCTTTTATGTAAGTGAGTGAGTGAGTGAGAGAATTAGCCAACCAACACCTTTCTCTGGTCCAGGCCTCCAGAGGGTGGAATGAGTGAGAGCCAATCTTGGGTGACGTCCCGTGCCCAGGAAATGTTCCAGAAGTCTGTTCCGGAAAACTGGAACCCTGACAGACCATCGTATCCTGATGACCATCACAACAGCCGCCATAATCCACAGGTAATACCGGAGATCCTCCAATCAGAAAGGTGATTTTGTCTTGTTTAGATCTGAATCTGAACTTTAAGCAGGAGTTTATCTGGCCGATTGAAACCCGACAAAGTGGCTGTGACTATATCAGCAGAATTGGTTTCTGGCCTTTTCTCAGCCGCAGCCTTCGGTATTCCAAGAACCGTGTGCTTCAGCCAATCACATGTCTTCCCAGCCATTGTCTTTTTCGGTGCCTTTGGGCACACTTTTCATTCATATTACCACTCTTTCTACCTCTTCTGTCTCTGTCAGTCTCTAGCTCACATCTTTATCTATCTGATAAATATTTCTGCTGAACTTTACTGCCCATCGTAGACATTTGTATAGACCCTCCCACCTCTGCCAGACTGCGGGGGTGATTCACTGCTTGCTGCTTCTTCACTGTCTGCTGGATCGTACCAAACCCCCTCCAGACTCTCATCTCTCCTTCAGTGTGACTCTTCTCTGTAGCTCAGCAGTCATCCGACCCTGATGTTTCCCTGCACTAGTCACTCATCCTAGTACTGTGAAGCAAAGGAGATTCTGAATAAACAGCTGTAGGCTTGAAGAGCATGTTGGAAAGCACTTAAACCAGTAGTGGGCAATCAGACAGGGTTAGTGTGCACCTAGTCTCAGCCTTCAAGAAGCCTATAAACGAGAGCTGTGACCTTTTTACTGTGAATTTTTAAGACCAAACCTGAAGTCAATCTATGCCTTTTAATTTCTTCTTATCACTTTGGATATATATGCAAAACAGGTTAAAATATGTTCATTTGTTTTTCCATTAATTAAATCCAAAAATCTAAAGTTAAGCTTTTTTATTCAAAGTTATTTTATTTTATTTTATATTTAATATATATATATAAAAATATATGAAAAAATATTTATTATAAATAATATATATATATATATATTTATATTTATGTATTTATTTTACCAATCCTGAAACAACACAATCTCTTTTTATTTCCTCTAATTTCTTTGCATATGTATGCAAAATAAGTGATGTTAAAATATTTGTTTTATTAATTTGTAGTGTAATGCTTGATGTTATATTGTAATATTTTTTATTTTATTTTACATTTCTCTTTTATAGACCAAATTTGAAATCACTCAATCTCTTTTTCTCTTTTTCTTCAGGTTGTATTAAAATATTTGTAAAATTAATTTGTTATATAAACCAGGGGCCGTATTCACAAAGAATTTTAAGGCTAAAAGTAGCTCCTAACTGGCGAATTTAGGAGCAACTCCTAAAAATAATGGGCGTGTCACTCCTAACTTTAGGACTCCTAATTTTTTTCACTAAGAGTAATTCACGAAGCATTTTAGCCCTAAAAGTAGCACCTAAGTCTGGGACAGCTTAAAAGAAGTCGAGAGGACTCCTAACTCACTAAGACCTATTCACAAAGGATTGTAGAGCATACCACCGCCTCTCGCAGTCGTCCGGGGTCCGCGACACAAGCGGGAATGCTGCATTGATCTGCAAACAAATCCTCTCCCATTCCCACGCTTAGTTTTGCTTGATATCCCAGTGCCGAATTTCCCATTTATCTTTTTTTTTTTCAGCACCAGCTGGGCCAGCAGCAGTAATGGTGTGTTCAACTTCACACCGAACGCAAATTTAATTATTTGCGCAAGTAGATTACATACAAAGTCAATGCAAAGACGCGAATAGACGCATCATTCTCACCGGGCGTTGCGAATGACGCGAATTGGGCGATGCGTTTGCCGCGAATGTCTTCCGCGCAAGTTGAAAAATTTGAACTCGAGCGAATGTTCAAGCGTCTAACTAGACGCGATAGACGCGTATTTGACGCTCTATTCGCGTTCGGTGTGAACACACCATAACTGATCCTGCGTCCAGATGGGCTTTCTTTTCCGTTTTGGCGAGTTCATAATCCACCGTCATTCAACTATTACATTAGGCTACTTCAATAGGAGCAACATTTCCTTAGTCTATTTAGGCTAATTAGGATGTCAATTAATGTGTTAATGCAAAGTGTTAATGCAAGTGTCGTTTTTCATTATTAGGCAAGTGGCTGTTTTCATTAGGGTAGGCTATTAGGCTACCTTGATTTAATTTAATTCACGACTTTTTTTCTCTCTGCCTTTTTAGAATTACACTTCACTGGGGCATGCACAAACATGATATCCATTTCGATGACATTACTATTATTATTTTGTGTAGGACACAGACATATTCAGATGTCGTATTTCCATGATTTGTTGCGTCTGTGTTATGTTCCGCATGATGGCCCTGTCATCTAACAACCAATCACCGTGATCATTGCGAGGAAGCTCGTGCATGAGAATTGACGTCATCCATAACAACGAAGACTCACTCTTAGTTTAGGAGTTGTCATTTTTCCTTACTAAGAGTAGGTCTGAAAGGCGTTGTGAATAACTTTTAAGAGAAAACTCCTAGCTAAAATATTTTAGTGCGATTTAGGAGTACTCCTAGTGGTAAGATAAAAATCTTTGTGAATACGGCCCCAGAACAACAGCTTTTTATAATATATATATTGTTTTATATTTTATAAGTTTTATATTTTATATATATCGGCATGCTTAGTAGTAAGTAAATGTGATATCTTTGTGCTTTACTCTCATACTTTTATCTTATTTCAGATTTACCTGTCCTTGAACATTATATTCAAAAAGCAAACTTTGGTTTGTCACTTTATATATCAGTCAGACTCCCTTCCTGTCTAAATTGGCCGGAATAAGTTGTAATATGGGCTGATAATCAGAGACAAGTGTGCACCTGTTCCTTTATTTCACTCTGTTAGTGATATGCCTCATTTGGTTATGGCTAATGACTACATCAAGTGTGCTAATCTTTAGTTCGAAGCACTTTTGCACATGACATCGCCCTCTACTGGTTTAATCCCTCATGGGTCCAGTATCACACCCCATAGAGCTGTAGGCCGGTGAAGCAGGCATCAGCCCGGCCCACATGCTGTTGCTCTGTTTTGCAGACGGTAGAAATGAGAGAGATTGGCCCTGTTGGGGACGGTTACTCGGACACTGAGCCCTATCACCCAATGGAAGGGCATGGGCGGACCATCTCCATGCCACGCCTCTCAGCAGACAACCAAGTGAGCACCTTCATCCTTTCATTCATCCATTCACCCATTTCATCTTTCCACCTTTTATCTGTTATCATCCAGTCCCGACATCCGTCATTAGTCAGTTATCCAGCTTACAGCCTTTGACCGCTTTGGTGGGGGGAACCAAACTTCAAATAGTTTGGTGCGCTGTCATGCTAACATGTCAATAAATGCTAGCATGTCTTTGTCAAGAGTCAAAGGGCACATGGATAAGTGGCTCACACCCTTACCTTCACTGACCTGCATGGCTGTGTGAATGCATGTATGCGTGTGAGAGAGAGTGAGAGCGACTGTGTGTTCTCAGCATCATCATACCACCCTAGCTCACTTTCAGGAAAACCTTGGTGTGTCTGGTGGTGTGTGCTGCTGCCAGAGCTCGATTTGAGGTAGTGACACGTCAGACAGAAATAGGTCAACTCATAAGAAAACAGCCTGTTTGTGCATAATTAGCTCTAGCTTTAAAAAGCAATTATATGATACAAAATAACTTATGGAGTTATCAATTAATTACAATAAAAATTATAATAATAAAAACAGCAATACTGTGAAATATTATTACAATTTAAAAAACTGTTTTCTGTTTTAAAATATAATTTATTCCTGTGATGGAAAAGCTGAATTTTCTGCATCCTTACTTCAGTCTTCAGTGTCACATGATCCTTTAGAAATCATTTGAATATGACATTTTTATCAATGTTAAAAAGAGTTGATTTTTTTGGTGGAAACCGTGATAGTTCCAAAGAACAGTATTTATTTGAAGCCGAAATCTCTTTTAATATTATAGAAGTATTTACTGTCACTTTTGATCAATTAAATTCAATATTGCTATTTTTTAAAAAATGTTTAAATATTTAAAACTGTTGATTTAATTCATGTTTAAAATGTTAGACAAATGCAACTTTTGATAACTTTTTAACTTACAAAAATCTTTCAATTGAGTTCAAATATGCCATAGACAGTTCACATATGGAAGCAACCAATCGGCTGAATTTAAGAGACACCCCTTTGATCCAAAAAGGTGCAAAAATGTGATATGTACGGTGGCCGAGAGAGCTCAACGCGCTGCAACTGAAGAAAACGCATGCAAATAGAAAACAACGCGTGCAAATAAAACAAAACACATGCAAATAAAATAAAACGCATGCAAATAGAAAAAAACGCATGCAAATAGAAAAAAACGCGTGCAAATAAAAAAAAACACCTGCAAATTAAGAAAACATCTTCATCCGTTTCACAACACACGTGTGCTCCAAATACTCACAACACCACCAAATACATAAACGCGCTGCAAATAACACAGAGCACAACGGAAATGTTTCCAGGGGAACCAAATAAGTGACGAACCCGGCTGGGACGTGCTGGCATAGATATCCATAAATCTATGCGTGATGGTGCTTACAGCTTAACATTATACTTTATTTATTTGTTTGTTTATTTATTTGTTTGTGCAAAACATACAGAAATTACATTTTTTATGACATACAACTTGTATACAATGTACAAAATGTATTAACAATTTGTTCAATGTCATCAGAATACAAATGAGAAAAGAACAATGAGCTGGAAACTAAAATAAATAAATAAAAAAGATAAAGAAGAAAATCATGAAGGAAAGATATTTATCTATACACCAGTTACACTGTACAAATTGTTTCATGTTATTACATTTTCATAAAGAAAAGTTTCGTAAGAAATGTTAGGTAATGTAGGGTCCAACATTTTAAAGTTGAGACACAGATATATAACGCATATTTTAAAAGCTTTTTTTGTAAACTAAAAATAAAAATGTATTTGCATCCGTTATGTTAACAGCATCATATTACTGTCGTAAGACCAGCTGATGGACACCGTGCTGCGTTGTCATGGGAACATCCCACGTTGTCTTTAGTTGCTCCCTTCATCAAGTGCGGTCCACACAGCTGCCTAACAGCACACTAGAGCCTTGCTCACTCCAAAAGGGCTCTGCAATCTGCCCTTCGAAGGGAGTATGGCATAGGGAAGCTCACGAGCAATAAGCACGTCTCGGCCGGGTCCGTCACTTATTTGGTTCCCCTGGAAACATTTCCGTTGTGGTCTGTGTTATTTGCAGCGTGTTTTCTGTATTTGGTTGTGTTGTGAACTTTTGCAGCGCGTTTCCTTATTTGGAGCACACGTGTGTTGTGAAACTGATGAAGATGTTTTTTTTAATTTGCAGGTGTTTTTTTCTATTTGCACGCGTGTTTTTCTATTTGCACGCGTGTTTTTCTATTTGCATGCGTTTTTTTCTATTTGCACGCGTTTTTCTCTATTTGTATGTGTTTGCTTCAGTTGCAGCGCGTTGAGCTGTCTCGGCCACCGTAGATATGCAACATATGCACTGCATTGCATACCTAACGCCGATCTCCTGTGACCTCCTGACCTGACAGATATATTTCACCTGATCCTTTTGAAACACTAGCACAAATCAACCTCTGGAGGCAGTAACACACTCACAACATATGATTCCGCAAACACACACCCAAAACGCATCACATAGAAGCAATTATACTACTATTATGATCAAATGCATAAATATACACAGCATTTCTCACCCTTACATAAACCCCATGATCTCTTGGTTGACTATCCTCTGGAGATGTGTCTGGATTGAGCATTTTGTCCAAGTGTGTATCAGATAAGTGTGAGGGAGCCGTGTGTCCCCGCATGTGTTCCAAAATGTGTGTGTGAAGGTGAGCTAAGCGTAGAAACCTCATAAACTAGGAACAATCTAAATATGTTCACTTGTGTGTTGGAAGTGTGGTGCACACAGTGCACACCAGGAAGTGTGAGGATCCAAAGTCTGTGTTTGTGCGTTCCGTGTAAAGCTGTAACATAGATGTGGTTCTTGTTCTTGTGACTCACTCTTATCTAACACTGCTCTGCCCCACAGAGTGTGCATTCTGCTGCGGTAAGTGTGTTAGTGTGCTTCCTATCTTCCTCTGCACTCGCTCAATTTTTGTCTTTTTTCTCTTTCCTTTTCCTCCTCTCCCCTTCCCCCTCTCCCCCCTAACCCATTCCTGTCAATGCCTGTGTTCCTTTGCTCTAAATTAAAATGGGGATCATGATTTCTCTCTCTTATTCTGCTCTCCTCTCCACTTTGCTTTTAATCACTCCTCAATCCTTGTTTTTTCTGTCTCCTTTTTGTACCCATAATGCCTCTTGGTTTCCTATTTCCCTTTTCCTTGCTTCCATTTTCAACCATTTCCTGTTCTTTTTATTGGTTTTACTTGCTCTTGTTCTCTCTTTATTTCCCTGTTTGGTTTTTATTTCTTCCTTTGTTTTGGTCTCACTCCTTTTTCCATGGACTTCCTGTGGCACACTCGTCTTTTTAATTTCTTACCAACTCCATCGATCCCTTTCCTTTTGTTTTGACAATGTCTCATTCCTGGGATCTTTTTATCGTCTCTTCTGTCATGTTGCACATTGAATTTGTCTCCATTTTTACCCATAACCCCATGGTTTCCTCCTGCCCACTTCCTTCCTTGTTCCATTTCCTCTTTTCTTCCTTTACCTTCCCCTCTCTCTCTTTTTTTCCTCACACACTTTCTCTGCTGTGCTCTGTGTGTATCGTCCCTGTGGTCTCATGCGTGTGTCCTGTTCTGCGCATCGTCTGTGTGCTATTCAACAGCGACGGAGACACAGGCCGCGAGGAAGTAACCTCAGTGTATGTACCGTCTCTGGCTTTCTGCCTCTCTCTCTCTATCTTCTCCATGCTTTCCCTTGTTCCCTCTCTCATTTTGTCTGTTTAAGGAGTCTGCGTATCTCTTTACGTCTTGATGTCACTCTGAACTCTTTATTTCATGCCATCCTGTTTTCCCTCTGTATATTCTTCCCGTTGCTGTACCTTTCTCTCTCTATACCTTTTTCGTGTCCACTTATGCAGCCCTGTATCCCTGTGTGTGTGTGTGTGTGTGCGAGCGAGCGAGCGTGTGCACAAGTGTTTGTGTGTCTGTCTATATCTTATCTCTGTATTTCTGGTCCTGTGGACATGGGGAGCTTTTGCTGTCTCGTAGTTCTTGACGCATGGATTTCAAACAGGAAAACCTGCTGCTAATAACGGTCATGTTGTTAGCATGTTTCAATAAGGCGCATGGCACCAAGCATTACGTGTGTGAGTGAAAAGAAGAGCGTGAAGGGTTATTTCAGTTTTCAGATCATGTTTAGATGCATAAGAGCGTAATGTGACTGTGCGTCCACACAGGCTACCGACTGTCATGTTGACCATCATGCCTTAGGGTGTGTGTATTGATGAATGTGCTGAACTTTATTTGGCTGGATTGGGTTCTTCTGTGTGCTCAGCTATTGCAGAGAAAGACATTGAGTATTTAATGTTTCCGCTTGTATTATAAAGGCTGCAGTGCATGTAAGGCATGTTCTATCTATCTATCTATCTATCTATCTATCTATCTATCTATCTATCTATCTATCTATCGTATGTCTGACTGCCTATCTATCTATCTATCTATCTATCTATCTATCTATATCTAGCTATCTGTCTGTCTGTCTATTTATCTATCTATCTGTATGTTTTTATTTCTGGCTGTCTGTCTGCTTATTTATCTGTCTCTTTTACTCTCTATCAATCACAGAATATCCATTTATCTCTGTATTTCTATCTAGATCTCCTTCGCTTTTCCTGTTGATCTCTATTTCTCTTTCTGTCTTTGTTGAGCATGACAGATATACCTGTGCTTTGGTTTTCTCTGTGGGTGTGGAATGTACTGAGTGTTAATCTGGTTACATTAAGATGTTTCCACTCACGCACACTGCATTTAATTCAGTTTTTCTACGAAAACTCATATCAATGTAAACTTCTGTCCTTTCCCATTTTTTTCTTCCTTTTCTCTGTCTATCTTTTTCTTTCTTTCTCTGTAGACCATCACCGACACAAGTCCAATGCGCCGTTCTACATCCTCACTGGTCCACGGACGTTCTGGTCGAGGCGTACGATTGGACGATTATTCTTTGGAGAGGGTGGTGTCAGAAGAGATTCACCGACACGGTCCGCGAAGGAGAGAGCGTGATCGAGACCGGGAGAGAGACCGCAGTCACCGCACCTCAGAGAGATCCCTCGCTCGCTATACAGACGCAGACACAGGTCACGCACAACTCATTGCAAATGCGTCATTTTATTATTATTATTATTATTTTATTTTTATTTTCTTTTATTTTTTAAGATACCCAAGTTCTGTAGGTGCTATCAGAAACTTATTATCTAAAGTTAGCAGTGCTTTTCAATTTTTGTCAAACTATAAAAATGTTTGCCCCTCCAATATGTAATCTAAAAATCTCTCTTTTATTGACAATATTTACATTATTTAAATGTATTTCTTTAGCCGATTCTTTTGTCCAAAGTGACTTAAGAATTAGAATAAATAAGCAACTATACAAAGTCACTGCAATATATTTTTTTTTATTGAATTAGTTCTGTGAAAAACAAGAACTGGCTTTTTCTTTCAGTTTTATTTCACTTTTCTACAGAGCCCCTAAAGGGACATGGTGATGGAAAAAATATGAGATGGGAGTAACAAATATATTTCAATGGTTTTGCGTTCGCTTGCAAAAGTTTTGCGTTCCCCATAGAAACATTGCGTGAGAACACAAAACATTTGAGAGAGAACACAAAAGCATTGACGTAATTTTTCCGCCCATCTCATATTTATTTCCAATCCCCATGTCCCTTTATGGTCTCTGTACTTTTCTGATGAATAATGAACAGATTTTTTTTTTAAATCAATTCTTTTTGTAAACATTCTGTTGCTCTAATTATACAAAAATAGCCAAAAACAAATTAATAAAAGTTTGCTTTACCGGACCAATAGGGATAGATAGATACCCAAAAATAAATAATCATTTACTCATTTACATTTTTTACATTTATTCATTTAGCAAACGCTTTAATCCAAAGCGACTTACAAATGAGAACAATAGAAGCAGTTAAATTAACAGTAGGATAACAATATGCAAGTGCTATGACAGCACTTGCATACTCACCCTCATGTCATTTGAAACCACCTTATAATCCCTAATAATTGACAGTGACTCATTTGGAGGGTTTGTGTTCTTACACATCTCGTCTCATTCCTCTGTGCTGTCTTTTGCAGGACTGGGCACAGATCTTAGCACCACTACACAGTCAGTTGACCTTCCACCTAAAGAGAGAGAACGAGAACGGGGTCGAGCAAAAGACCGTCGCCACCACCATCATCATCATCACCACCACAGCTCGGTGGATAAAGAGCGTTACGGTCATGAGCGTGACTACCACCGTCATCCTCAAGACAGATCTGATCGCCAATGGTCCCGCTCACCGAGTGAGGGGAGAGGGCACAGACAGGTGGGGCACACACACTCGCTGAAATACTCGTATATTTACACACAAATTCAACTTGATATTTTCGACTTGTTTCACTATACTTCTTAAAGGGGCCATGTCATATTGAATCTTTATCTTTATAAATTAAGCAACAGCACTTATGAGTTGCAGATTTGCTGTCAGGTCCAATATAGTTTGCACCGCTCAGTTCTTCTATAACAGCCACTTTTGCACATTGCAGCAGGTTCACAAAACAATCTGCTAAAATGTGCCACCTAAACAGTTAAAATTAAAAAAACAATAATTATCTGTGTCCTTATATTGGGATCCTTAAGAAGAGCTACACACAGCCATGTACTAATGCATTTCGAAACAAGCTGCTGCAGTTTATTTTCGGTACATTGTTTTTTTTGGACTGGAGGAGGTTTTGCACTCTGAGAGCTGAAGTATGTTTATATAACATGTCAAACTATTTTTATTTTTTTAGGAGTGGAGTGGGAAAAATAAGGCTGTTGAACTCAAACTTTAAATAAGAGGCATCAGTTTCATTGTTGATATCAGTGATATCATAGTACTTAGTAAAAAGATGCCATTAAACAAATGTTTTAAATAATGAATATTTTAAATACTGTCTTTATGTTATTTCACCATTAATTTGGAGATGCAATGTGAAAATATATTTATTACACATTTTAATCGTAGGTGCAGTTTAATCGTGATTAATTTCTGAAACCCATGCGATTAATTGGTTTTCTTAATCGATCGACTATTTTTATAAAAAGGTAAAGGAAAATTAGATATTTGATGATGTGACCCCTTTAAAGTCATACTCATGAGAAGTCATTTTGAACATTCATGTGTATATGTTCGTGGTTAAGATCTTTACAGTAATCTGCCATGAGAAGCCAGAGGAATGAAACTTAGAGTATCTAGAATACACAGGTGTGGGTCCATGTGGACAGTAACCAGACAGCATATGCTCACCTGTGACCTTATCATGACTGCTTACTGAAATCAGTTTCTCTTTCTTGTGTTATTCTTTTGTTTATCTTCTTTTATCACTGTGGTTTATGTCCATTTTTCTCGATGTGACTCGTGGCTTCTCTGTGTCTGCTGTTTTGCCTCATTGCCGGTTTGTTTCTTTCTGATTTTATTGATGTTGTTGTTGTTTCCACACACCTTTTTCTCTCTCTTTCTCTTGCTTCCTCTTCCTTGTCTCTCTCTCTTTTTCTCCTCCTCCTCCTCCTCCTCCTCCTCCTCCTCCTCCTCCACCTCTTGCCGGTGTGTGCTCCTCTCTTTTGTTTGACGTTAATTTTGTGGTGTTTTTTTATTTGCCTTGTTTTAATTTTCATGTAGGGCAGTAGTTCTGTGAGCGGAAGCCCCGTTCCCTCGACGTCGGGGACCAGCACCCCCCGGCGTGGCCGTCGGCAGTTGCCCCAGACCCCATCCACACCTCGTCCTCATGTCACCTACTCCCCAGCCGTCCGCAAGCCTCCATACGGCTCCCCGGGCCAGGGTCGACTCCGCTCCCCTTCCCCGCGACACTTCTCTCCACCAGACCATGAACCGCCCTACCACCGTCCACCCTCCCGCCATGCCTCGCCTCATCACGACTCGCCCCGGCACGTCTCCCCGCGCTCCCCCAGGCATGCGTCACCCAGGTCCCCACGTCACGGCCGCTGGGGCCCGCCGCCGGACAGCCTGGAGGGCGATGGACCATTCTATGACCGGGACTATGAGTACGAGCGGCACCACGAGCCACCTGCCTACGAGCAGAGTCTATCGCAGGGCAACCCTCACCCTCATTCTCACCCGCACCCCCGGTCCCCAAGGACTGCTCGTCACGGGCCTCCCTTACACCCGCGCCGTGTGCCGAACGGCTACCGTTCCTCCTCGCCCTCCCCGCACCGGCGCGACCCCCACCCAGGCCCACACCGGCCGCCAAATGGCCGTGGGCCCCGGAAGGGGTTGCACGAACAATATAGCGAGACGGACGAGGATGATTGGTGTTAGTGCGCAGGGTGACCAGGAGGGGGCGCCGCTCAACTCAAAACCGAGATGTTTATGCACCGCAGCAGGGAGAGAGGGGACGGAAGAGGAAAAGCAAATGGTGCTTTTGCGCCATCGTGAGACTCTAAACCTTGGAGTGGCACATCGAGCTTCCCTACTCCCTCTCTCTCTCTATTGCTTTCTCCTGCTCTCTAGACTATGTTGCCCATGCTGCTCAGCAAGCAAGGGAATGGGAGCATACGAGAGATAAATGGGGTGGTTGCGTTTAGATGGACTGAACTTTAAAGATCAGAGTCGTTGTGTTTGAACACTCCACTCCAGACTGAGCAAGACCGATTGCTTCTTGCACGATGGAAAAAATGAGCAACATCATCTGTCAATCAAAAAAAAGACAAGAAAAAATGAGTTTTGAAAAAAAGTTTGAAAATCAAGCCAGAACCCCTTTTTTCCCCCTCACATCTATGCCTCTTGAAAAGACCCAAAAAATTAAAAAGGGAAGAAAAAAAATAGACATTGTTGAAGAAAAAGCTAGTTTTCTTGTGAACAAGAGCTCTACCTACTGCAAAACCAGCCCCATGTGCTGGCCAATATCGATGAGTTTTATCATCTACGTTTACTGTTACCAACTCAAGACGCTGAGTGACCTCATCACCTGGGGGAGGGGTTAACTGTCGAAGAGGCGTGGCATATGAAAGGACTCAGTGCAGGCGGGAGGAGGCGGGTTGGCGTGGCACACCGAAAACCCCGCCCACAAACTGCCACTCAATGATAAAGGAAAAGACAGCGGAAAAAGAATGAAACGGCAGATGAGGGAGGGACGGAAAGACTATTTCCTCTTCAGAATGTCTTCAATTGATTACTTCTTCTTTTTTAACATTTGGAGCTTGGTTATTCTGTTGCATTTGCTCAGCTTTCTTTGATATTTTTGGACTAAAATCTGATGGAAACTTGCATGAGTGATTTAAAAAATATATATATATATCAGACAGAAGATTTACTGTGGGAAGGGGGGGTGATAGCTCTCTTTTTTCCATTCAGTTTAAGGAAGTTCTTTCTCTCGTTTCCTCCCTGTTGCTCTTGCCATGTCTACAGACCTTTATGTGCAGATGGAGTTTATAGATAGACGTTAAAGCAGACCTTTCTAGATAGCGAGACAGATCTGAAGGTGTTTTCTATGTTATTTCCATCTGAGGATCCCAGATGATGTTCTGCACTGTTTATAATTACTTTGGATTGCACTAAAAACTAGCCTGAATGGTGAAACCTCCCTCATTACAGCTCTGTCAGCCATGGTTGTGAACAGAGAGAAACGGGGTGAGAGATGTTCTCCTTTCTAAAGGCTTCATTTGCTATTGTCAATAACAGTAGTCTTATAATGATGAAAACTATCTTAATGCAATTGATGTAGATGACGGTGATGCTGATGAAGATAGAGGTGGTCATGTGACTTTGTTGTCTTGTTTTCAGGAGTTTTGTCTGCTGTGGCCATCTTGTTTCGAACTCTTTGTGTTTGTTTTTGGTTCTGTTCACAACAGATTGAAGTCTATAAGGGTGCGCTTCTGATAGCATCCTGAAGTTTACGTACTTGTGACCTCAGCTGAGTAGAATATTCCTATCAGTAGTGAATAGTTTTGGTCAGAGCTCATGAATGTTTTAAAAGAGAGAGTCAGGCCATTCAGGATACCCTCGGACAGTTTTCGTGTCAGAGTTTTTCAGACAAATTCAGGGTCCATTTCATAGTTATTTTTGGACAGAAAAAGATGGTCACACAACAGTGTGATCAGGAGAGATTGTTTTATAGAAGGTCAGATTTTAACCCCTTAAATTATTTCACTGCTAATGTAAGTGCAAGTTCATATTTTGGGCGATGAATGTTGTTGTTTACTTTTTGTCCATGTTGTGGTGCTGTTACACAGCTTTAGCCAGGCTAGACTATGGACAAACGATCCCTTATGAAAGTACGGTGGCCAGAGGGAGCTATTACATTTGCAAAACTGTTCCCAGACAGTAGGTGACGTAGCAGGTCTGTCGAAGCTCGCCTTCGACAGTCGTTTTTTGAGAATTTTGACCTGGATAGTCTTTGATCAAGTAACTGGAAACGATTCTTCCACCCTGCCTTCCTGTTCCCTGCCATGGGCAGTTTGTCATGTCTTTGGCTGCCTGCTCAATCTGAGACCCTCCCCCTTCTGCTCAGGATACAACGATACAGCCAAACGTATATCTCACAGGGGTGTAGAGGTGCGGCCTTTTCAGCCTCCCCTACTGTCATTTAACCTGTCCAGCTGACCCACACCCATCCAACCATCTAAAAACATCAGAAAAGACCAAATGTTTATTAAATATCCCATTACAACAGGGTTTTTTTCCCCCCTGCAGATAAGGATTTTATTGTGCATAGGCTACTCTTTTATAGCTCAGGAGCCGTGTATTTCTCAGTTTTGTTTAAGTGTCAACTTTGTCTCAGATGTTTCTCCAAAAATCGAGAAGAAAAAAAATCACAAATGAGACAAATGTTGCCGTGCTGTATGAATATAGAGCTATAAAATAAATGTGGGTAGCATCATCTGAAATCGTTTTTCTGAAACTCTAGAGGAGACGCATGTGAGATCTTTTTTTTTTTCTCAGGAGAAAAAACTCCAAAAGTCTCAATTTTATCTCATTGCTGTCTAGGAGTAAGAATTAAAGAGATCTCTTTTATGATTTTTCTTTATGGAATGTTTAAGATCAGAAACCCTGACTGTAGTTTTGCTTAAAAAGATGCAGAAGTTTCTCTTAAAGCGGTCAGCATGGGAATCCGTAAGGTTTCAGTTGGTCGTGTCACAGAATAGTTCACCACATTCATCTAATCTTGAAGTCAGTTGGGCGGTTCTGTATTGTCTCATTTTCTGTCCCAGAGTCATATGAAATCCACAGTACAAGGGACTTTTTTCTTTTCTTTAAAAAAGTTTTAAAACATGGAATGTGTCTTTTTGTTTAATCCCTTCTCCTTGCCAACCCATATTCAAGACTTTTAGGGAGGAAACCACTGTTTTCTGGGTGTTTGTTGATGTTCGGCCCACATTTACCCACAGCTGGCCCCCAATTAGCCACAGGTTTGATGCCCATGGGTCCAGATGAACCTGCAGAGCCACAGTGCCTTCTGTTCTAGTGTCGCACACTAACCCTTCCCCTGCCTCTCTTCCCTCTCCCCTCTATCTCTCTCTTAATGTGATGGACTCAGTCACACTACGCCTTAACAAGTTCCCATGTCTGCGCTGTCTGCTGGGCTTTCTAAAGACAGGGAGGCACGGTTATATGATAGGGGAAGATCCCAGTTACTCTGAGAGTAATGAAGGGAAATGACAACCGAGTTCTGTCAGGGTGTCCATCTCGGCTCTCTGTCTCTCTTAGCAATGCTTCCTCGAGTGGATGGCAACCATTTTTTAATTTGTCTCACCCTGCTCGTTTAGAGAGTTGCATCGAACATCGGAGGGATTGTTCTACTTCTCAGGTCTTTAGCAAAAGGACAGGAAGGCTTATTTTTGTCAGGCATGAATGTTAGTTAGACCTTTTGCATGGTTAATATAAAGCCCATTTAGAATTTCTCTTGGTCTTGAATTCTTTTGCTGAAAACACTTGAAATGCAGCTCCATTTTAGCTCAAGATGTGGATCGATAGTTTATTAATAGGATTTGATTTTTATTGATTAAAAAGAGATTGCAGAAGGTTGTGGTTTTTAAAAGAACAGTTCACTCAAAAAAGAAACTTCCGACATGATTTACTCTCCCTCATCTCATTCTTTACTATTATGACCTTCCTTCTTCTGTAGAACAGAGCAGAAAAGGAGAAATGTTGAATAAATATTCTGGTTGCTCTATTCTATGCAGTTAAAATAGATGAGGACTGAGGCTTTTAAGCTTCTAAAAGGACACAACAGCACCGTAAAATATAAAATTGGGACAGTGTTCTCATTTTTATAAGCCATACAATAGGTTTGTGTAAAAAACGGACTGAAATAAAAGTCATTATTCGCTAAATATCTTAAAATCCACCTTAATGGTTTAGAACTTTTCAACGAATCAGTTGATCCAGTTCACAAACCTGTCAGAATGGTTTATTCACAAATTTGACTGATCCAGTTTCCTGAAGGGCTTAAAGACTTTCATGTAGAAATTGCAGTCATTTTTTTTCTATTTTGATGTATATCCAGTGAAACAGCTTCTGTTTGGTGACTTTAAATAGTGCATCCTTTTTGTAGCTTGAAAATGTTCTCCTGCTGTGTTTCACAGACGAATTAAAGTCATATTGGTTTAGATAAATGAGAGTGAATAAAGGATGTCGGAAATTTCATTTTGGGTGAGCTGTCCCTTTAAAGGTTTATGCATGTAACTAAGACTGGTGCATCATTCTTTGGCTCTGCTTGTTCATCAGTTTGGTTCTGACCCTCTTTTGCTCTCAGTGTCAATGCCTTTATTGCTTTATGTTTTTGACTCGCATCTTCATTTTCTGTCCCAACAGAAAGCCATTTTCAGTTTGCAACACACACACAAGTGATCCATCGTAGATACACAACACACTTGCATTTGAGCATGTGTTGTTTGTTTTGTATCGTCCTAGTGGAACAAAGCTGTTTTTTCTTTGTGTTTCATACGAAATAAGGGCTTTCCTTCAATGGTTGAGTGCTGCCAAAACAAGTCACCCTCTATGTAGCTACACCACTTCCTGTGGTCTCCCTTTGTACAGAACAGAATTACATGTGTGTGCATGCTAATGTGTGGGGGAACCGGAGAAAAGGGAGGGGGTGATGGGTAACGTAGTTTTTTTTCCGTTTTTTTTTTTTTTCTGTATGTATGAGAGTGAGAACTTGAGGCACAGCTGTGGCCAGCACAGGCATTGTGCATGCCAAAAAAAAAAAAAAAATTATCAGAAAGGGATACTAATGATATTGTGCACCTTGGGTAATTTAGTGCTGGGTTTGCCAATCCATTTCTGCTCAGCATTTACCATGGCATACTTCATTATCATCCTCATCTGATCCCAATCCGAGATTGGGCACGGATCCATTGCCACTTTTTCCAGAAGATCGGAAGGGTTGGGTTCATCCATGTGACAGTGGGACGGTTGACTGCGAGTGTGTGCGCGTTTGTCCGTGAGCTGATTTGAAGGCAAGTCGTTTTTTAGTGCCTTACAATGAACAGTTTCCCATCGCCGTTACATGACCGTAGAAACAAAGCCATGGCGAAAGCGAAGAGAGTCATCATGTTTGTACCTCGACTGTCTGTCCATGTCTATCTAACTTATTTTGTTGGGCCTATCTATCTCTTTCTCTTCTGTAACTCTTGTATATCTCATTCATAAACTTCCTGCAACAGTCTGTGTTCATCCTCTTTCTTCAGCATTTCCATGTTCCAATCCTTACTGTTTCATTTCCTCTCGTTCTTTATGCATGTCATGGTTTCTTCATTCAAACACATTGCTGATTTGATATTATATTGATAATATGTAAGACATTTTTTTGACATATAAATGTATTATTAGTAATGCTCATAGTTACATTCATTAAAACATAAATCATACTTATTACACATTTAAAAGGACAGTCCACCCAAAAGTGACAAATGTCATCATTTACTTATTAAATGTAGTTCCAAATCTGTATGACTTCTGCGGAACACAAAAGAAGATAATGAAAGTCAATGGGGTCCAATGTTATTTTGTGTTTCTTCGAAATGTCTTCTTTTGTGTTCCACAGAAGAAACATAGTAATAGTAAAAGGTGACAGCATTTTCATTTTTGGCTGAACGATCCCTTTAAGTGCACTAGTTGTTCTGCCTAAGACAGAATAGATGCTAAAAAACATGTAGCAGATAAACGAACAGATTTCACTTAAAAGAGAAACGAATGTTGAGGTTCTCTAAAAGGAAGCGGCTCACAAGACAGGAAGTGTGTTTTCACCACCGTCAGCCGGAGTGTGCTTCTTCACAGCGCTCGTATGTGTCGAAGGGGAAATAAGCGTGTGGTGTGAATGTGCGAGTATGTGAGGAGTTCCTGCGAGCGCGCAGCCACTGTCACCGTGACACCCACAAACCCGTCCCATCTCTCCTTAATCACCCATATCCCACCCACCCACCATCCATATTACTATTGACCTGAACCATTTAAAAGCAAAAGAGAAAAAAAGGCCATGATAAAGAGAGGTATTTAATTACTGATTTGCATGTGCAATGTGCATGCCACTATGTGGGTTCAAAAGTCAACTTCAGGAATTCTAAAATATAAAAAGAAATATAAAGAAAAAGAGTATATATATATGTATAAATATATAAATATAGTTAGATGTTTTATGAGCAATGTGTTCCTTTTTTCTTCTATTTTTAAAAATGAAAAAGACAAAAAAGAGCACCAAGAGGGGAAAAAAAATAATACAAGAGACGATAAATGATAAATACTCATAGAATGTTTGTTTGTTTCTATTGCCAACTGTTCTCTGAGAATCGTGGGTGAGGTGAGCACACTACATGCTGTGGAAATGTATTACAGAATTAAAAAAAAAAAGAAAAAAAGTTAAAAGATATCCAGTAACTCTCAGTGTGAGGGACTGCACATCACTCTGATTTAAGAAGAACTCCAAAACCCTTTTTGCTGATGTTGAGCTGTGAAAGAGGCTGCCTGAACCTGGTGATGTTACACATTTATTCTGGCTATGAAAAATCACCCTTTTTTCTCTCTCTTCCTCTGTCTCTGTATCTCTCTGCTATTTCTACCAGTGCATTTTGTAATTCCGAACAGACCTCTTCCTAAAGAACCTGAATAAAAACCAGAGAGAATGCATTCTAAACCCATCTCTTGTCTTCAGATGCACGACTGTAGTTTGTGTGTGAACGAGTGTATAATTTCAGTCTTTGTACACAACAATTGATGAATGTTTGTTGAAGGCAAAAGCCTCTCTTTGACACGTGCGTTCACACCTACACGACAATCTGAAAAGGATTCAATCAGGTTTCAGGTGGGGGAAATGATGCCACACATTGACAGCTGTTAAGGAAGTGTTGATAGCCGGATTATTAAGGATCTGGGCTGTTAACCCAATGACTCTATGTTAAAAACCAAGTAAGAGTGTCCCAGGAAGCGAAGAATTAGTGACTGTGCATCTAAACACCCTCATACTTCCTCTTTAATTTAACTGTTAGTCACCATGAAGCAGAGAAGGGCAAACCTTTTTTCTATATAAATATGTGCATGCATACATGCGTATATTTAAAAAATATTTGCCCTTCTCTGCTTCAATTAGTAACACTTTACAATAATGTCTCTTTTTTTTTACCATTAGTTAATGCATAAACTAACAATGAGCATTACAGCATGTATAGCTTTGTTAATGTTAATAAAATGTTCATGTTAGTTCACAGTGCATTAACAGATACAACTATTGATTGTTATATATATATATATATATATATATATATATGGTGTTATTATAAGTAATACAGAAATAATGTTAGAAATATTATGTGTCTTATAAATTAAAAACGATAATTATTTCTCTTATTTCTTTATCAGGGTTAAATGGTTGATCTTGAGAAAAGCTTGATGATTTTTTTCTCTTCCTGCAATGCTCTATTTTTTATGTTGTTTATTGAAAAAGTTAACAGTTAAGCATAACTAAGCATTCTTAATATAATTTATACAGGCCAAAATCACAATTTCCATAATTTCCCCCCTCCACCTCATTTGTCAGGTCAAAGACCCACATCAAGACCACCCTGGAGGAAACTAGTGCATCAGAAACCTGTTTGAGGTATCCACCTACTCCACACATGACCACATCAAACAGATTCATTTGGGTTTCACGCAATCTGAGTTGAACTAGGTTTCAGTGACTAATCTTAAAATGAGTTTCAGTAATTAATCATCCTGAGCAATTATCTCACTGCAGTTTCCTAACAGAGGATTCAGCCATTTAAAATGATCTCCACCTGAAAATGTCACTTCCTGTCTGCTCATCCGCTCCTGGTGCCAAAACTTTCTACCTGAAATTACATGAACACCTATTCAGATCCACCCCCACAACCCACATATACATTCAGAGCAATGATTCATACTTACTCATAGTCATTTGAATTTAGAGCCTAATCACATGCTTTTGTGTCACGCTAAATCTTAGAAAAAAACCTTTTAAAAAAAATTACGTTTTAAACATTTTATTTTAGGTATACGAAACCACCCAGAGCTTAAGACACAACAGTGTTAGCGCATACGGAAGTGATTAAAATTCATGCTCTGAGGCTTGTGGACTCTAGTTTCACTCTCTTGCATTAATTATTTCTCATTGTGCTCTACTGATGTCAGTTTCGGATGTTGTAATGCCAGTTGAACTGGGACTTCAAGCTCGACAATTATAGTCTGACACTGGCCACTAGCCAAAAAAGTTTATCTGTGTGTTCAAGGGAAAAGTGAATTTCATGGACATGTTCGGACAGGTCTTGCTGACTAATGAAGGGAAATTACACACTTTACCGTAGTGTTTCCAGCTGTTGCCTTTTATCGCCCACACAAGAGTGACAGATGATGAGCTGTATGTTTTATGATTGGGTTTAGGATCAGTGAGATAAGCATTACTCCTCATGATGAAAGGCTGAGTGAGTTATAGTCACATATTTCAGAGATGATCTGTTTGAAAAACCTTAACTAATTCATAACCGTAGGACTTGGGAAATATCTAAGAAAAGTCTAATTAATCTATATAGACTATATAAATAAATTAATAAAATCTATTAATTCTATACTATATCAGATTTTTTTCTAGTTATGGTTAAGATATTTCATTGGCTAGCTTTCTTTGTGGGTGTAATCTCTAATATATATAGGCTATATATATATATATTTGTTAATCCTCAAGTAAAAAGCTGGAGAATCATGGTTCTTCATTGGTTAACGGTGGGGGTGGGGATATAACTTCAATTAGAACTTCTTAATTTAATCCACAAATATTAGCCCAAACTATGGGTTAGGTGTTTCTGTGAGCTCTTCAAAATGAAATCTGTACAACATGGTGATTTTTAAATATTTGCATGTTTATTGCAAACCGTAAACACTGAAATCAACATCATATGATATCAGTCCATCATGCCCTTCTTATATTAGTATTATCAATACATATTATGTGCAATTGATCAGTGCAACAGTGACATTTAACACGTTTTGGCATTTTCGAGACAGTTTCAAGTATCAAACTCGGATAAACATTATATGTTATGCGTGTCATACACCGTCAGAGTTCTTCTTATTTGAGGTTGTAAAGTTCATAGGCTGGATAGAAGACATCAGAGCCCAGTTCATACGTGATTCAACAGAGTCATCTGACTCCTCTCACTGAACAATGAAGCAGCTCGGGTGATTCCAATGCGATTGGGATCATAGTATCCACCACCTGTCCTGCATTCCTCCTGATCCTGGCCTCTCTCGGAGCTCTTATGGCGAGCTAAGCCGACCGCACAGGGGTCAGGCTGCATAACCAGTCCGTTCTGAACCAGTTTGTCCAGGAAATTCCCATCAAGGGAGATCGATTCTCGGAATGATCCAAAGTGCGTCTTGCTCAACACGCCCCGATGGCTCGATTTGTTGTGAACGCTGTCAGGGTTTCAGCCTGGCGACAGCTGTTTCCATTATTAGTCCTCAAAACCTCGCTTTGGAGATGTTGCTTCTCCTCATCCGTGTCCATTCTGGCCTTCTTCGGAGGTAGAAAGTCGGGCTCGAGCGCCGTCTTACCGCGGCGCTTCCTGGAGTGCCGTTCAGAAGCGCACAGGTTCTCTTTGTCCTCGACTACTAGAGTGTCTTTAGGTTCCTGAGGCTTCATTGCGACCTCATTAGGAGTCTGAGGAGAGTCTTTAGTAATCTCCATGGGCTCCTCCGGGGCGCACGGAACGACCTGCTCCTCCTCCGCGTCTCTGAGCTGCTGCGCGGTGTGGTAGATGTCCCGTGCGGCTCTCATGGTCATGGAGAGCAGGAGACTCCGGTGAAGTCTCAATCCCCCGCGCTGGGTTCTCAATGAATACAGTTTACTAATAGAAAGAGCCATGATTCTCTTTGCCTCGACGTCCATTGTGTTTACAATGTATCAGGATATTTCAGTTCTAGACTTTTAAACGTCTAAGCTTTAAGGTCTTCGCGGTGGATTGTAAAACTAAAAGTTTTCTCCTCTCAGGGCGGTGTTTTATGTGCGCTCAGGTGACGTAAAGAGTTTCCATTCCCCTGGGTGTATAAACACGCCCCTCCCGTCTTGTCAACATACGTCATATTGGCACAGCACTGAGGTATCAAGTCAACATATGCTTTGTGTTGCCATGTCCACTTATTATACTCAACTTTAAGCTTGGGAAGAGTATGGTAATACATGCATTAAATTGTGGCAGTGTGGATCAGTGTTATTTTAGTATTATGTAGACTACTATTAAGAGTTCTCATTAATATAATTTTAATTTTTTATTTAATATTTTTTTTACATGTTTTTTTTCATTGTTTTTTATATATATTTATCTCAGTTTAATATTTATCTTAGTTTTTTAATTTACTTCCCCCTTCAACTTAAACTTATTACAATTATTTGCCTATGCAACATTTATAACTGTCATTTAATATTTACATTTTATTTTATTTCAGGTTGATTTCAATTAATAAAATGTTTTAGTTTTTAATATAATAACCCTGGTGTGGGTGTGAGGGGAAAAAATACATTTGTTAAGTTAAGTATTTTAATTATTTAGCAAATATATTGTCTTTGCAGCAAAATGTAATTGTGCAGCAATAAATTAGAATGATTAAATAAAGCAATTTTCATTGATAAACACAGCCTGCACCAGAAGCACACAACAAATTGATTTTATTGAATGGACATTAACATTATTATACATGTACTTCCGTTCAAATGCAAATATTGAATATACAATTTAACATGCAACCATAAAGCGGAAAAAAATAACAAAAAAAAATCCTTATGGGGGGGGGGGGGGGGGGTTGTTGTGTGTAGTAAGGGTGAATAAGGGTGTTTAGAAATATTAAAAATATTTATATTTTAAAGTCTTTAGCTTTCTTATTTAAAGAGTCTTTAATACTGTCTACATTACAGCCTTACTTCAGTCAAGAAAACGTAAACGTTTTTCATTAGTAAAATTAAAAACAAGAATGTGATGTTTAAAAATCTAAAAAAAAAAAAAACGTTTTGTCTTCTTGTAGCCAAAAGCTGGAAACAATAGGGTTGCTTATTTTGGGCTTGTTTTGTAAAAATAAATGGATGGTTTTTTTTCTAATGAAATCTGGCAACACAGGTCTTAATAGCACTGCTCTACAAAAGTGTCATCACAAACAGCATATGTCATTATCGCACTGTATCAGATGTCTGGCAGTACAGTAAAAAAATGACCTCAGGTGATCTGTTTCTCAAATAATCATTACTTATTGATCTCATGTAATTATACTAATGACATGTGAATGAATACATCAAATATGCATTAAGTGTAGGGGAAATGATAAGTGCATCATTTTCCTGATTAACTGGCTTTTGTTTTGTTTTTTATTATTCTTTTTATAGTGTAGCCTATTATCTATGCTATTTATTTTAAGTGGTATTTCTATTTGAAATTGCCTATAACAAAAACATTGAAACATTCATGTTGAGAGTTGTATCAATCTGCCCCCAGTGTTTACAGTTCACTTTTTTTCTGTTTGCTCGACGTCACGTTCTATCGCCATATTTGGCAGATCCGTCGTGTCTCCGGGGAGCGCGCACTCGCAGTGGAAAAGCCGTGACGTGCCGCAGCTTCCCGCAGCCTCAGCAGAGGCAGTGATGATGTCACCGCGCACCATATTTGGACTTGTCACCGGTCCAACAGCCCCCCCTCCTCCCCTCCTCCCTTCCTCCCCTCTTCCCTTTCTGCTCACATGAGCGTAACTAGGAAGGAAGCAAAGCGATTGAGGTCATAATGCAGCTGTTATTCACAGCACATGCGCCGTATTCTATTTATAGAAAATGGCCTACCTGCTGGCTATGTCGAAATTAAAGATTTTGTTGGTGTGCAGCATTTTTGTACAGAGAATTGCTTTTAAATTATGAGCGTGAAAAAAAAAAACATTTGTCAAGTCGAATGTGTGTGTGTGTGTGTGTGTGTGTGTGTGTGTGTGTGTGTGTGTGTGTGTGTGTGTGTGTGTGTGTGTGTGTGTGTGTGTGTGTGTGTGTGTGGCCTACTGTAAATTCCTTGTGTGTGTAAGCATTTTTGGCAATAAATCTCATTCGGATTATTTTGATTTATTGCTCAGCATGGGTAGTAGTCTTGTTTGTGAATGTGTTTACAGAGAAACAGAAGAGGGAGGAAATATTGTTTTATTAAAACACTAGGGCATCAGATTACAAACCAGTTTTGTAAACAGAGTGACTAATCACTAGGACCTTCAAGCTACCGCTTGTAAAAAAAGCTCCCTTACAGTTCTCTGACAAACTGCATTCCATGCGATCAGGCCTCTATTTAGGTCCACCCTATCTTTCTTTCCTTCCACAAGCGTTCTTTGCTCCTGAGATCACACCACAATCTTGTCAACAGGTTTATTTGAGGGTTATAATATAGTTTTAATATGTACATAATGATATATTTGCTAAACCCCAACCCTGAAATAAACATCTTAAAACATCTTTTCAGCCTAATCTGTCTTTCAAATAGTCGAAAGAATTTCAGATGTCCTCTAAAGTCAGTTTTCACCTTGCCTCACTACTCACAAATGTGGCCCTGACAAATACAACCAACCTTTATGCTTTTCACAGGAGGTGGAGTGTGTGTGTGAAACAGGAAACAGTGTGTGGAGAGAGAGGAAGGCAGGAGACAGGAAGGAAAGGGTGACTGTTTAAGAGGTGGGGGAGGAATTGAAGGAGAATAGTGTTGCTAAAAGGAAAGAGAGGAGAGGGGACCAGACGTCAGGGATTTAACCATGTAGCTGGCATTAAAAACCATATGGGAATCCTTTAACACACCTCTTTCAAAAATTTGTGTCACCCACCACCCGTATTTAGCCTAGCATATTTACTGCCTTGAGCGTCAAGCACATCCAGGCCAGTTACATAACCAAATTAATTATGAATCAGGTCAGGACTGCAACATAGGTGTGCTAACAACCCTGTTTTGGAATTGAGTGACAAACAATGCTAAAAATATGCCATTTCTGCTTAGCCACAGATGAGGTAATGCATCATGCAACTGAACAGGAAACGCATTGTTTTCTCAATCAAGTAGGCTATTCAAAGACATTAGTGCATTAATTCTCTGCAAAAGTACAGATTGTTATTACTCATTAGGATGGACTGATAACCTACTCAAAACAATTGCATTCATTTTGGAAACTTAACATAATTATTTGCTGGTTAATGAATGACTACTTACAATGAATACAATTTAATTATTTTACATGATTATTTTAATTCATTATAATTTTATTTCATTAAATTGTTTGACAGTTTTGTTTAGCCAAATTGTTATCAGTGATGTATAGTCTTTCTTATGCAATAAATAAATACTGTAAAAGGCAACCGTATTATTTAAAAAATCATTTTAATAACACTTTATTTTACAGTTTCCTTGTTGCACGGTACTTATTGCAATAACAGTAATTTGTGCATAATTACAAGCAACTAACCCTAACCCCAACCCAATGTATATGTTAATTAATATTATATATTCAGTCATGGGCGTCGGAAGCAAAAAAAAAAAAGTGGGTGGGTCCTCCCCCAGAAAATTTTTACTAATGCCATTTCATGTATTCTGATGCCTTTTAATTAAACAAGTAAACTAAACTCGCCTCCACGTCGTGCATTAAATGCACAGCTATCCGTGGATTATCCCGCTGCTGAAACCATGGTCATTTGCCAGCATTGACAACTTAAAGCTGTTATTGATGTTTGCAACGCAATATTTGACTGGAAGGGTACAACGGGCGGTTATTTTCGTGAGTTGCGGCTCGTTGAGAAATATAATGTAGCGATTCAGCGGAAATGGAGTTTAATTCATTAGGGCATTCCTCAAGTGGAATGGATTTGACTGACGGCGCTCTGGAAAGCGAACAGACATATGCGCTGAATGTAAAAGTGAGTGGGTCCAATATCATTGGTCTTAAAAAGTGGGTGGGTCTTGTCCCACCCATATACAATGGTTCCGACGCCCATGTATTCAGTACTTTTTACACTACCAAGGACACCTTAAAATAAAGAGTAATCACAATTTTGTGTGCTTAAAATTTTGTATTAAATAAAGAGAATATCAAATGATTTTTTTTGTAATTGCATTTGTAATTAGGACATTATAGTGGACATCTGAATAATAGACCTTTTTCACATTCCCCAGTTTATCAGAAGCGGAAGTCGTCATAGTTGGGTAAACTTCTATAGCGGTGAATGAGAGACTACATTACATATTTACATTACATATTTTTTGTGTTCCCATTTGCTCAAATAACAAAAGAAAAACCCCACTGTAGTGGACTGATACTCCCGACTGATGTTGATTTCTGACGTCAACCCGATTTTCATTTTCAACCACAATACAACGTCTGTCCAACGTTGGAGATTAACGTCAAAATGACGTTGGATTCTGACATCAACCTGATTTTAATTTTCAACGTTGGGTTTGGTCTTCTAAATGCGAATTTTGTTTTTTGGACAATTTTTGGAGCACACTAGCTTATAGATAACAGTAAGGCTAACATATTCATACTAAAAGCCAAAAAACTTTAAATAGGGCACAATAAAAATGTAAAAATATTAAAAAATATTTAAATATTAGAAACTTAAAAAAGGTCAATGTTAATATTGGAACATGCTATGTATGGAACATGTTTGTTTAGAGTTTACGGGCTTTTATTTTGAAAACTCGTGCGTGGGTATACAATCCATCTTGCCGTTGACTTCACGCAGCTCCTAAAGCACAGGGGCTAATATGTCGATGGAGGATCCTTTTTTCGTGGTTAAAGGGTAAGAAAAGTTATCTTCCTCTTCCCTGCCTTATTGTCTGTCTTCCGTCTTTGTCTAAATGACACCAGGTTGATATTGACAGGTTAATTTAAGTGTTAGTGAAGTATCTTTAATCACTACCTGGTACTCCAGTCATTGTCACATTATTAATGTTTCCATGTGATTTTACTTATAAACTTCCCTAATAAACAAAATACAGGTGTGTTTTTAGTTGAGTTTTAGTGATCTGGAAGGTTGAATTAAGTCTAAAGAAGCCAGAGACATTTTATAGTGGCTTGTGTTGTTGACTGGAGTGTAAACACACTGATTTATGTTGCATGTGTTTGTGTGGCAATGTCATTCATTTAATGTACAGATACAAACCACAAAATAATCATATACATCACCCCACCACGACAGTAGCCTAACTACCACCGGAGTAGTGCTTATGTAAAAGTTGTTTGCTTCTGATAAACACCTTTGATTCCTTTGAAGTAGAAAGGGTTTGACAGTTTGCTCCTCTATGTGGCAGGGAGGTACAGAAGGCCCTGTCTAAAGCACAGGGGCTGTTTGAGCGCTGGGAGGAGCTGCTGCAGGAAGAAACACCCGTCAGTCGCGATGAGCTGGACTGGAGCACCAATGAACTCCGAAACTGCCTAAGGGCCATCGACTGGGACCTAGAGGACCTGCATGAAACCATCAGTATCCTGCCATAAACCAAAGCCCAATGATGCCTTCAAATATCAAAATGACGACACTTTAGTCGGAATGTTACACAAATACCGTGTGCCTTGATACCTCAGTTTAGCAAAAGGGAGATTAAGGTGCTAAAAGACTGTAACGTTATAGTTTTCAAAAGGAAAATACTTAACTATTCTACTGATCTCAAACTTTTGAACTCAAAATAAGCAGAACTCATTATAATCCTTGACAGTATCAGGTATTGTGGAGGCAAACCCTGGAAAGTTCCGTTTAGGGGAATATGAACTCCAGGAGAGGCAGGACTTTGTGAAGCGAACACGGAATTCTGTGCAGGTGTCAATCACTCTCCTATTCTCTCTCTCTCTCTCTCTCTCTCTCTCTCTCTCTCTCTCTCTCTCTCTCTCTCTCTCTCTCTCTCTATCTCTATCTCTATCTCTATCTATATATATATATATTAATTAATGATATGGTGTAGTCTTAGTCTTGTACATGAGTGTGTTTCTGTGTGTAGATGATGAAAGAGCAGCTCTCTAGTCCCTTAGCTGTGGCCCAAGCAGAGAAGAAAAACAGACAGGTGAGTGATTCATTCACTATTTCACTAAAATGACTGTGAATGGATTCATATGGTCATGCTTGCGTCCGTGTCTGACAGGCTCTGCTGGGGGCCACAGAAAAGGATCGTTACGCCGGTCTGGAGCCTCACCTGGTGTCTGCAAACTCCAGATACATTCAGGAGCAACAGGAACAGCAGCAGGTAAAAGACATGAGGTCAAAAAAATAATTGTTATCTGTGAAAATATTATTACTTGACAATATTCCAAAGAGCATCTTATAAGCTTCACAGAAAACAAGGAAATGTGACCTTTTAGTGGCAAGTAGTTCAGATACTTAAAGGAATAGTTCACCCAAAAATTACAATTATCCCATAGATTACTCGGCCTCAAGCCATCCTAGGTGTATATGACTTTCTTCTTTCAGCCAAACACAATCTGAGTTATTTAAAAATATATATATCCTGGCTCTTTTCAGCTTTGTAATGGCATGAATTGGAAGTTGTGATAGTATTTTCTTCTCTTTTGTGACGTATATCAGAGTGAAACGGCTTCTCGGACAAGAAAAAATGTAGGGCAGGACTTGATTTTGTCAAACGGGAATTGATTGGATGGTTGGATCGTTGTGATTTGCTATTGGTTGATCTCATGTGAGTGACAGGTTGCCCCCCCTCGCACCAGTAAACATGTCATCAGAGAAGAGATGTCGCTGCAAGAGTTATTATTTATTAAAGATCACTAGGGCACATGAATAAAAAGATTTTGTCCATTAAAAACCAAGAATTGTCCATTTTGATTTCATGGCAGAAAATGGTAAATATTTCTTCTTTGTTCGTTTTACGTCATAACTTTCCCAACTTGTCTTTCTCTGCAGCTGATCATGCAGGACCAGGATGAGCACTTGGAGCTGGTCACAGGCAGTATCCGTGTCCTGAAGGACATGTCCAGCAGGATAGGAGACGAGCTGGATGAACAGGCAGTGTAGGATATTGAAGAATAAACAGAAACACTAGCATGTGGATTTTTCTAATACTCAATATTGTTTTTATTGCCATGTGTGCTTGTTGTCCTAGTATGCTCGGGGAGTTTAGTGAGGAGATGGACCAGACCGGTTCTAGAATGGACTCAGTGTTGAAGAAAATGGAGAAGGTTTCACACATGACCAGCAGTGAGTGCTTTTACTCCTTTATTGTGTGTTCTTCTACTTCTAACGTTGTTATATCATTCACAGCAAATGTTTGTAATTTCAGCCTAAAATGTTATGTTATTATATTTATCATTCAAAAGTTTGGGGTTGGTATTTCTGAAATGTTTTTGAAAGATGTTGCGCTCACCAAGGCTGCATTTATTTGTTCAAAAATACAGTAAAAACAGGAATATTGTGAAATATGATTACAATTAAAAAGACAAACAATTAAATGTAATTTATTCCTGTTTAGCATCATTACTCCAGTCTTCAATGTAATGTTTCTTATTATTATCAATGTTGAAAATATTTGTGCTGCTTAATATTTTTGTGAAAACCGTGATACATTTTTGTCAGGATTTTTTTTTGGAATAAAAATGTTCAAAAGAGCAGCATTTATTTCAAATAGACTTTTATTTTGTAACAGTGCAAAAGTGTTTAGTGTCATTTTTGATTTTAATATCTTTTCTGAATAAAACTTGCGAACGAAAAATCTTACTGACCTAAAAGGAAGCATTTAACTTTTTCTCAAACGTTCTCATTCATTGTTTTCACAAGCTTTATATCTTTAATTATCTTAATTTTGCTAGGCTTAAAGGGATACTCCACTTTTTTTTGGAAATAGGCTCATTTTACAACTCCCCCAGAGTTAAACTGTTGAGTTTTACCGTTTTTGAATCCATTCAGCCGATCTCCGGTTCTGGCGGTACCACTTTTAGCATAGCTTAGCATACATCATTGGAGTGGACAAGACCATTAGCATTTCTAAAAAAAAAAAAATGACCAAAGAGTTTCGATATTTTTCCTATTTAAAACTTGACTCTTCTGTAGTTACATCGTGCACTAAGACCGACGGAAATGTAAAGTTGCGATTTTCTAGGCTGATATGGCTAGGAACTATACTCTCATTCCTGCGTAATAATCAAGAAACTTCACTGCCGTACCATGAGTGCAGCAGGCGTAATGATATGACGCAGCGCCTTAAAAAAGGCTACCTTCCGTCAACACAACGGAACTATTTTCAGGCGCTGCGTCATATCATTACGCCTGCTGCACTCATGGTAAGGCAGTAAAGTTTCTTGATTATTACGCAGGAATGAGAGTATAGTTCCTAGCCATATCAGCCTAGAAAATCGCAACTTTACATTTCCGTCGGTCTTAGTGCACGATGTAACTACAGAAGAGTCCAGTTTTAAATAGGAAAAATATCGAAACTCTTTGGTCATTTTTTTTTTTTTTTTTTTTAGAAATGCTAATGGTCTTGTCCACTTCAATGATGTATGCTAAGCTATGCTAAAAGTGGTACCGCCAGAACCGGAGATCGGCTGAATGGATTCAAAAACGGTAAAACTCAACAGTTTAACTCTGGGGGAGTTGTAAAATGAGCCTATTTCCAAAAGAAGTGGAGTATCCCTTTAAGAAACGAGCATGAGATTTTGACTTGGATCATATGTGTTGTGTGTTGCAGGTCGGAGACAGTGGTGTGCTATTGGAGTTCTTGTAATCATACTGATCGTGGTGCTCATTTTGTTCTTCACCATTTAAACCAGACTCTTCTTCGGTTTGGCCCTCCATCATGCCAAAAGCTTACAGAAGAATTTTACCATGATGCTTCCACCTCAGCTTCCATGATCCTTTGTGAGAAAGAGATCCCAGTTATTTTTTATAGTCCTTTCTCGTCTTTTTGCCTTCATCTAATCCATATGTCTTCTGGCTCTCAGCATTTCACTCTCTCCCGCTGCTTTTGGATTGGAGTTATTGTCGACTGGAAGGTCTAATCCAGAATTTCACTAGTGCTGAGATGGAAGTTAACAGTTATTATATTTCTTATGTTTTATTTGTGGTACAGAGTATAAGTGGGGGATGAGGAATTTGATATTGCCTTATTATATTTTTATATGTTTGATTCTTACAGCAGCATAGTAATTGTGTACATTATAAATGCCCGTGAAAGAGGTTGACCATAAATATGTTCACCAATTATGTAACAATTTAAATGTTGTTGTTATTGGTTGATTCAGATTTAAAGCACAATGAGTAATGCAGGCTCATAGCGCCCTCTAGATCTGTAACGTCATGATAGAAACCTCTGAAGTCATCAAATAACAATCATCAAACAACCTATGATGGTGTGCATTGGAAATTGTTTGTAAATTGGAAATTATAGCAAGAAATGTAGGGTTATTTAAATGGTTTTAAAGCAAAGTCGCACCTTTAACATGAGGTTAACATTTGCATTTTACATGTTTGCTTTTCCTTTATGGATAAATTTGACACTTTATTGCATTATTTGAGTGAGCTTATGTAAAATTGCTTGCAGAAAAATCATCAAATTTGCCTGCACTTTTCATGAATCTTCATGGATGTGCTGCTTTTATGGGTTGGGATTTCCCATATTTTAGACTATGATTTGGTTATTCTTGTAATATTTGAGTTTCCCCATATTTGAAAATATAATTTTATGCATTGTTTTTGAGATTACTGTACATTGGACTGTGAAGTTTCATATTACTGTGGAGATGTGTATAGAATCATTTGGACATTCTTTGTCTCAATTGATGGTGTGGGTTAAGCCTTCACTGCATGCCAAAGTGATATTCCAGACCCATTACTCCAATGATAATAATATATATATTTAAATATATTTGTCATTTTACTATTTTTCAAAGGAAAATGCTATTAACTGCTCTTTTAATATCAGCGAGATGCATGTACTGAAAGTCAGCTATATTAACTGACAACATCCCCTCAAGAGCTGATCGGACCCCACTGTTAGGATCATCACTTGATATTTCTATTCCTGAACTTGAGCTCAGATTGTGCCCATCTGTGGGTGTGCTAATGAACATTTTGTACTGCTATCCTCCGTGCCAATGAGTTGTTTCCAGTGTGCCCTCTGATCTGAGACACTACGTGCCTGTGGGTGAATGTATTATGTTCAGTATAAATGCTTTCCTCTCTGAATATGACATTTCAGTATTCTCTTGTTTCTTGTAATATGATTAAGTAAATAAACCCTTGACTGAAAATCAGATCCAACTTCAAACGTAAGATTTTTTTGAATATTCTAAGCCTTAACATATTTTAGTACTCACTGCTACTAAAAATGTGGAACAATGAACTAAAACTTATTACCTCTTACATGCCCTTTTAAGGAGATTTGGTACGCATATGATTGTCTTTTATTTGCAAAGTAATGTCTTTCAGTGCTGCCTGCATATAAATAATTGCATTTCAAAAGTATAATGCCCTTGTCACTTGTTTTTGTAAGCATTTGTATTGTATACAAATTTTGCCATCTTGATAAATTCAAATGGTCCCTGAATAAAGTTTATGACTTTGACATGCCATTCATTTTTCCAGGTCATTTTTCAAATTGCATGCACCACATTAATAAATAACTTTATAGCAGGGATACACGGCATTTGTTATTTTCTTTCACAATAAAGATACATATCATGCAAAATATAATCTAAAGGACCCTTTTCACGGACTGTGATGACGCATTTCCACTTTTATAATACACATTTATAACGCTATACGTTGTGTTTATATTACCTTTGTAGAAAAAAAAAAAAAAGACTAACGGCTGAGATAGTGATGTATTTTTTACATCTTTCTCTCTTCTGACTGCTGTAATCTCTTTATTTTTTCCCTCTTGAAAGTCATGGAAACGCTGTTGTCTGCGTTTACACGACAACGATGTAGCTAAGTTACATTAGCATTTTTCGCGTACAGACGACAACGTTAAAAGTCAAAACGACCACTGTTTACACTGATCCGCGAAAATGATTAAAAACTCTGTATAATGCCGCTAGGCCAGAAATTGGCGAAGTTACTAATGAAAAATTATGCGCCTGCTTATTCATGACGTCACCGTTTTCACAAATTCGCATTTTTGTAGTTTACATGGAGACAACTGTCTCTTTTTCAAAAACTTGAACTTTGAAACCCGATTTCTAAATTTTACTTTTCAGGCGCCCAAAACACGTTGTCGTGTAAATGAACGGCCAAAAACGCATACGTGCCCGTTTTTAGCTAAACGGTGTCATGAAAACGGCCCCTCATACGACTTCCGCTTCTGAGAACCGGAAATGTGAAAAAGGTCCATCTGTAACTGCTTTAAAATAAATGACTAAGTCACACATTAAAACAAAAGCCAAACACAATAATTTTCTTTGTTACAAACCTTTTTTATTAAGATGTATTTTCTTGATTATCTTTTCTTTTTCTTTTTTACAGTAATGTGCAATTTTCTTTCTTGTTGGGTCACAGTTAAGGAATACACAAAGTTATTGGCACTTGGAACACAGAGGAAACACTGGCATGTACTCAGGGTGGGGTGAAGGGGATTTTGACATCAGTAGACGCTACTGCATTTGTTTCCAAAAAGGTTTCTGGGGAATAACATCTCATGCTGTGAGTGCACAACTAACAATCAAACTTCATTAGTGTTTCTATGTATAATGTACAGTATATATAGATTTGTATTTATATATGTATATTCATATATCTATACTGGAAAATAAAAAAAGCTGAAAGATCCCTGCGGCCACACCAGAGACATGCTCTCCGGAGCCATGCTGACGGTCGGAGCTCCCGGCCCCTGGTGAGGTATGAATCTACCATTTACATCTAGTTCCTGTAACACCGTTCAGACAAATCTGAACAGCAGCACGTCGAGGGGTCTCTCGTCACATGACCTGTTTTAGGGCACAGGGGCCAGGGAGGTATGGCTGAAGGTGTCGGGAGGTAGATCCACGCACATGTATTGGTCTCTGGTGGGCAGGGACATACAAGGAGCAATATATGTTTGAAATCTGTAAAAAGTCTTTGAGGTTGCCGGCAGCGCAGAAGCGCACAGAAGGGTGAAGTAAATGTACATGGAGCAGAGGGACAGAGGCATGTTTATACTGGGGGAGAGAACACTGGAAAGGTGAAACGAGATTAACAGGTTGATAGACATCTAAGGATAAAATGTATAAGATAACAGTTTAAGAGAGGTATGTCTTCATCCGAGGCTTTTGATTGCATCTTTCATTGTTTTTCCTGTGTACATGCCTCTACTTTTTCCACATAACTGAGGTGGAGTGTGTGTATATACTGTATAGTCATTCACACAGAACGCGTTCTTGCACCTAAAAACACATTGAGACGTGTTTTTAAGTTAAGATAACACAGGGAAATCCGTTGTTTTTTTTCATGCACTGGTCAATTTTGACATTTTGGGCTTCCATAACATCTTTTGGACTAGTAAAAAAGAAAACATCCAAAATACACATATTTTATTACTCTTCATCTAACTGGGTTTGTAGATTTCAATTATACCTGTAAGGGCTATTTTCTCAAAATGATTCCAATGTTCAGATTTCTAAGCTGGAAATTTAAGCAAATTAGTGCATATTTAATTAGATAATGCCTCGTTTGCATATATAAACAACATTTCAGAAAATGTGTAATACAAACCATTTGTCTTAATGTATTATGATTAATCATCTGGGAAATATGATGATATAATATATATATATATAATTTTTTTTAAAGATTATTTTTACCATATGCACCAGTGGTGCAACATAAACAACATTTCAGAAAATGTGTAATACAAACCATTTGTCTTAATGTATTATGATTAATCATCTGGGAAAGTATGATGAGATATATATATATATATATATATATAAAAAATTTACAATATTTTTTTTACCATATGCACCAGTGGTGTCTTGCCTTAAAAGTCTAAATTGAACTTTTTTTCAACCACAATAAATAGACATCCAACAAGCACAAGGTTTACATATAAAAACAATATAAAAAAAAAACCCAGCACAGTTAAATGCAAAAATGTGTTCTGTGTGAACCAGCCCTAAGACTCAGAATTAAAGAAAAAAAAAAAGAAAAAAGAAATTGATTGAAAATGTAAAAAGTTGAACTCCCCATTGCTCAATCGAATCAGAAGCAGAGAGAGGGCACTGAAGGTGCGAAAGTTCGGGTCTTCAACTTCTTTTAAGGCCAAGCACCCATTGCTGTCCATAAAGACGGAGAATGGATCCCCTTTTACATATTATATAAAACTGAGTGTTGCACTTTAAGCCTGGCCATGCATATATATAACCATATTAATGTATTTACATATGACGCTTATATTGCAAAGACATTAAAATAAGAAATAACTATTAATTATTGTATTAAAAATAAAATATCCATTTTATTTTATTTAATGTGGGAGTACAAATACAATTTTAGCTGAACATCTTTAGCTTTTTATTTTGTAGTCAATCAACACTACAAAATAAAAATAGGGTTGCAGACCCTCCATTGAAGACCCCTAAGACAAACTATGAACAGTCCCCTCTCTCTTGTAAAATAAACACAATTAAATGAATTTAATATCTTCAGAAAATGATAAATTTGTAGCGCTCTAAGCTCCATTTAAACACATTTTACAATATTTAATTTCATTCTTTGTCCCATAGGAAAAAAAAAAAACTTTAATTTTTAATAGGAATTTAATAATAAAGTAAAGTTTCACATAAAAATTGCAGTGTCAAATACTTAGTTCGTGATAGTTGTCCGCAATTCCCCATATTGGCCATTTGTTAATAAAGTGTCATATTAAGTATTGATTGTTTTGATCGTCACATTGGTAAAATTCAGCAGAAACAATTTATTTTAGTTCGGAATAAACGCAATAACATTTCCTTGTATTTGGCAGTTCAGAAACATTTTAAACACAGCTGTGTACATTTTCTCCTGTTCAGGGGTTATTAAATAAAACCTAAAAAATGAGAATTAAAATCAAGTCAGATTACAAGGTTTTTCTTCTAAATCCTTTGCTGTCCCTTATTGGCCAGGAGAAGTAACTGCATTGCAGTTCTCTTTTCTACCTGCAGCATTTATGAAGTCTGACACCAGGTGGCGCTCATACACATGCCATTCAACATCATTCAAAGATCCTCTTTACCAGCAAACTAATTCAGTAACAAATGATTTCTTTAAGACAGAAAAAAATAATAACATAAAGCTTGCAGTGCATGAAGACCCTAACTCCTTACATCTACGCTCCTTCATACGCTCATCCATCCCTAAAATAATGACATTTCAATACAGTGAAATCGCTTTCAGCTCGTTTCAGCTGCCCTCATGCTTTCCCAGCACTTCTCTTGATCCTAGCTATTGTACAAGTTTCTTTACAACTCTACAGTCTATGTTAAAAATCAGTAGCATCTCAATGGCCAAGCACTATTCTAAAGCAGAACAAAACATAGATAAGAAAAACAAAGATACGTTGTACGCCTTACATTTTATCCCTCATTTTTTTTATGGTTTTCTTTTTTCTTTTTTTTTTGCAAGTCTCAATTCGAAGCTTGACCTCAGTTGTTCTGTTTGTCCTGCGTGATTCTTACTCAGAATACATGTATTTTAATTGAAGAACTAAAAGGATCTTGCACAAAAGACCATGAACCCAGGGTGCGGGTCAGGGGTTAAACTTCTACACTGGGTAATTCCACTCAAGTTCATCGGGTTCAGAGTTCAGCGCACACTGTGTACCCAATCTCACCAATGCACCACTGAGCAGAACATGTTAAGAAGTGATTCATGAGTCGAAAACATCACAAAATCCAGCCCCCGTGGACACGCATGCTGGCTGCTTCCTAAAAAACCTCCTGGTCTCTCCCTACGTGTCCAACATTATAAAAAAAAAACAATAATAATATGTATCAAGCTGTACATCACAGGATTCAGCTCCTTATATGTACATTCCAAAAGGATGAAGAAATGTCGACAGCTTTTATCTTTTTCTCTCTCGTTGTTTTTCAAAAGGTGCTATGAGGAACAGTCCAACACAAAGCCATATTTTTGCAGTCACCATCAATCAAATATTATTTTTTTACTTTTTTTTTGGACAGTGGAATGGTACGCACGCACGCACGCACGCGAGCGCGCACACACACACAATTGTGTTCACATGTTGCTGTGTTCACTTGACATTTAAAGGGATAGTTCACCCCAAAATTAAAATCTCTCATTATTTACTCCTTTAAGTTGTCCTAAATTTC